GCAAATCCTGACCCACAACAAATCCTTTACCATTTACAATAAATTGAATTCGACCAATGCTGTTGTGGTCGAACAGTGCAAGAAGCTCCCCAGCCAAGCCAAGCCCAGGCCATCCCTTTCCTTACCTCTTACCTCCCCACCCTGCCATGGCAATCAAAGTTGCAAGTACTGGCCCAGAGTACAACCAGAATGCTGGAAACCGCAGGAAATTCGTCGAATTTGCCATGCGGTGGTCATGCCGCAAAAAGGATGCAAACCAGCCTGGCACAAGGACGAGACGACTACGAGAGCCCCGCTGCAAGGCATTGTATGTCTGTGTATGTATAGATGTACTTGTATGTGTGTGTGTCAGTGCGTCGGCGTATGCATAATTGATGCGAATGTTTGCGGTCCTTGGCACTGCAAGAGAGCGCCAAGCATCGAGCTGCAAACGCCTGGCTTAGAACGCTTTCTCATAATTGAGTGGGTTGCCCAAAAACCGAGTAGCATCAAAAAAAAAGGAGGGGAAATAGTCCGGACAAAATTTGACAAATGCAACAGCAATAGCAAAGTTCATTTACTAAACTGAGATTTTTCGTATGAATTGAAATACTCGCAAAATGCAATTGCCGATTAAGCCACAAGTTTCCAATCTAGACTGTTTTGAAGATGTTGCCGGATTGCAATTAAAAAACCTTCATGCTTGCAAAACTGTTATGTTTGAGAAAACTTACATATTTGATCGAAGCATGAACAACACCAAAAGCAGAATTGGCCAACCAATGGGGAACGTCCCCTTAATTACGATATTGTATCGCCAGCTCTTGCTCTCTATTCAATTCATATTTTTAAAAACAATTTTGAACACAAAAAAGGCTAAACAAGAATATGGTACATTATAATCTTCACAATTTTACTGATTCCTAAAAGAAGATTTGAAAATAATACAAGCCGAGACTGCGGATTTTAGCTCCAGAATCGATAAGGAAAAATAACTGTATGTACACTGTTCCTGGCATATTTTATTTGAATGGAGTTCAGTGATCGTGCTCTTTATGAAGCTGCAGATCCGATCTTAATTTTCGGAGTATTCGAAGATGTATTAAAAGCGTATGACATGGGCGATATACATAATAAAGCATTACAAAAACAAAAAATATGTGAAAAAAATATATACTTGACCGGAATGCTTTCGTTAGGAGAATTTAAGATTCTTAAAACTAAATTATGTTCCAATTAGTCAATCATTAAATCAGAATCGAATTTCCGTCTGTTGCTTATTAAAATAAATTCCCTTCTTAAGATCAGTTTTATTTGAATTATATTTAGTCATGGAGTAAGAAGTGTTTTTGGTGGAGTTGTAAGAATTCATTTATTCATTATTGCTTTATCAAAGCTACGAAAGAATGCCAAATGATTACAACATTAAATAAAATTAAATATAAAATACAAAATAAACGTCATTTGTTTAGATATTGAAAATGCATATCTTCCAAAAAACATGAAGAAATCAAATCCATTACATTACATTAAATTTTGACATGTTTTTTAAATTCATTCATTTTCTTTTACTTACTACAAAAATAATATTTTGATATTTTAAGCTACCAAAAAAATGTATGAACTCTAACAAATTTATTGCCCGAACTAATTAGAACATCCTACATAAAAATGGAAATAATCAATCTCATAAAATATGATTTTCTTTTGAATTATCATGCTTTGGAAACATAGGGCATTTATTTCAGAAATATTTCAAACAAGTGAACATTCATTCATGCTTTTTGTTTGCATTTCCAGTGAACACATTTCTTTACAGTTTTCTAAAAATGAACCGCTTTAGGATTCACGCCGTCGTTAATGGTTCCTTTGTTATATTCGATTCAGTAGTTGTGATATCGAACGGCTTTGGTGTAGAAGGTTGCAATATCATTTATATCTGGTTGGTAATATTTCATTATGTGGCGCCATAAAGAGAAACAATGCAATACACTCGACCAGCAGAATTTCACAATTTTATGATCCTGCTCTACCGTTAGTCCCATAACCCAAGAAACTTTTTCACTTTCCCTTACCCAGACACGTCACACACAGTAGGGCAATAAATTAATCAAAACAAGCGCACGACTTCAGTTTTTTACGTCTTTTTCTTGGGAAAATTTCATCTCACACCTACGCGCAAGATCTGTAAATGATTTGTTTGACAACAAACTCACACAAGCCCAAGCACACACACACACAGAGACACAGACACAGTGGGATACCACTCTTCGATGCCTTCCTGCGAAAAGCAGCCAAGTCGACCAACTAGATATCTGTGCAAATGATCGAGCCCCGAAACTTCGGTGACAGTCCACGAACGTTTTGGAAATTGCAGACAGGGATCGAACAGAACGGCGCTAGACCCGCGCCTGTGTGGCCCTTCGAGTGGGCATCATTAACCTTTTAAATGCCAGCAATAGCAACAACAACAACAACAATAATAATATCAACGGAACACAACAAGACCTATACAAATGTCAAACGTCATGGCACTTATTGATGTTTGCTCGCCGTTTTGTTGCCTCTATCTACGTTGTATATTCTTGTGTGATCTTATTAAGTAAGCCTATGCGCGTACAAAAGGGGTATTGAAAAGGACACTCACACTCACACACACACACACACACACACACACACACACACAAACCCGTGCTCACAAATTATCACCCCCATCATCGGCGTAAAGCAAAACGTCATCGCTGACGAGCAACACAACATGCCGTGTCATTCCTCAATGACCAGCGGACGGGCGGATGGTCCCCTAATGAATAAGCCCAAGAAAATAAAGGATGCCATGTAATTTTAACATAACTTTGTTGCATGTGATCGTATCAAAGTCAATGGATTGTAGGTAGCTAAGTGACAGGCATTACAAAAATGCCAGATATTGATATCAAAAGCAATTAAATGACACACTTCAGGCTTCATGATTTGAAATGAAACTGGGGCGAGTGCAGTGGCTGGCCTGGGGGATATCCTATATTATCAAAAGGTATTAGTGACCTTTCCAGCGGTTGTGGGGTAATTGCATAATGAATACTACTATATAAGTAACGAGTCACATCTAGGAACATCTCCCCCTTCCTACTCACTCGCTATTAGCTATTTTCCATAGCACCCGTAATTCTTTGATTTCTCAATCAAATTTGGCAAATTCTTCCAGTTGGTGCTTATGTCCGTATGTCACATTTTTATAGGTCAATTTTAAAAGAATTGTTGTTGCTGCTTTCGCTCAACTCTGTACTGCACACATGCTTTGAGTTCCAATATCCAAGTATATATAATCAAAAAATATATATATATTAGTATTACAATTTTGTTAGTATTTATTTCAACTTTTTTTTAAATTTTTATAATAACTCCACACATAGATAGACACAGAGTACAACAATTTCTGAATTGAAGTTTCTTCCACATTTTCAATAATTTAAGAACGTATTTAAAATAAAGATTTATTTTGTTTTCAGATGGTTATTACAACAAGCACATCGCTAAATAATAAAATAAATATCAAATGCAAATAGGACATACACTGGAATATATTGGAAGTACATAATTCGCTTCTGAAATTAAATTTCCATACCATAGCGCATGACTTAATTCATTGTATAAAGTAATTAGAGAAGGACCTAATAGTATGAAAAAAGATAATGCTGAAGGAACTTGGAATAATATTTCTTTAAGAAAGCTTGTCTATGTTTGCCGTTGTTGGCATATTTAAGATCGTAAAAAATAAACATTAGGAATTTCTCCTGCTCGACATCAAAGCATTACTTTGCAAGTCTCAAAGAATAAACAACTAATCCGAAAAAAATTAAAAATACCTTAGAACGGAGTTGTTTTACTCGAAGTTAGCAGTAGAGATGAAAATTTTATTTTAACAAGCAGAGTATCTAACCTATCATCCTAAAATCTATAGTTGATTTATACACAAATAGCATAATATTATATTTATGTCCACAGTTCTATAGCTACATCCCACCGAGAGTTTATAAATAATACTGAGAAAAAGGGCATTAATCAATGGATTAATGCATAGGAAACAAAAGTTAGGTAAGATTGTTTATATTGCAGATCAATATTGAGAGCGATTTAATAATCCGTTGCTATGTTTTTTTTTTAAACGGCAGCGTTGGGGGAGTGTTCGATCGCTTCCATTTCCAATCCTCACATTTCTAAAATCTGTCCTCTGTTGGGACGCCCAGCTTCTTGGCATGAGCAGACACCAAGCAGTGACCTGTGAGTAGGCCTGTTTCAGAAGGAATTACTTGAGTTTGTAATCCCTATCTTACAGATGGTTCGGACGATTTTGTTGTTCTTGGAGCGCTCTTAGCGGCGCTAGGAGGTCTTTGTGCTTGTCTTCTTTTGCCAGAGCGTCCAACTTCTCGTTGCCATCAAACATAACATTTATTTAATTCTACAAGTAAAGCAACCATATAGCCATGTTCTAAATTTTTCAAAAGGGTAAGCCAAATGGATTACATTTATTGTGGAAGCACATGAGCTTTTAGCATGGACATCAACCCTGTAGCTTTTAAGCTGTAACGACTCCAAGCTCAAACCAAGAAAACGAACCAGTTCAATGCAGCAGCAACTAAGTAAAATGTAAAGTTCATTTAAATACTAATGATTTAGCTATTAAAATATATACATATATAGAATATATATCAGAAACCACCAATATCTAGAAGTTGCATACAAATTGTGTTAAGGTCGAGTCGCCCCTCCCCCATTCCCTTTGCAACGCAACAATGCAACAGCACCATAATAATGAAAGACCGCCGACAATTGCCTTGGCAACCAGAAAATTCCGCCGTTGTTGTTTATTTTGCAAAAACCGCACAAAACAAGAATAATTCGAGAAAAAGCCAAAAAAATTGCGTATTAACTGTTTGTGTGTGGGCCAGCCATAATTGTCAAATAATGACATGTTAGCGGCTGATCACAAAATCAATATGAGCAAGTGACAGTTTTGAAATATTTTCTATATTCATACATTAAACCAGACAAAAATAAACGCCATCATTTTATAAATTTACAAAAGCGTCAACCAAGTTGTGAGCCGCGATGCCAACAATACCGAAACGGGATATAAGACCCTCGGGGGGCAGAAATTCCGGCATGGACTTCCTCAGCACCAGCGTTACACGGACCGAGGTTACTGAGATGCAGATCAAATGGCAGGATCAGACATGTCCAGCACCGCCTTGCAAACAGGCCTTCTGGTGGGCTTCACAGCCGAAACCCGTCAAAATCAAGGGCTGTCCCAAGTAAGTTGTTAACACCCCATAATTGTTGACCGTATCGAACATCCCAAACAGACGATACACAAACAGACGTACAGAACAGGGGTCAATGAATTGCGTGGCCAGTTGAGTAAACGCGCTAAGAAAACGAAAGTTGAAAACAATTCATAAATTGCGTAAATAAATTATTAGCACTATTGCGGGGCACCCCCAGTCTATAACTAAGCACGCAAGCTTATGCTGACAATTGGGACTATAGTGCTTTTTATTTTTTATATATATAGAATACTTGTAGGCAGAACACATGTAAATTAACGTTGTCGTGCATCGAACAATGAACAGTGGAATGCCATTAAAAAAAGTGAATATGGACGCGTGCAGCTCCTAAAAACTTATATTGACGCATTTTGTACTCATAAAATAGAGCGATACAAATGGCAGCAGGCCAGGGGGTCATCAAATTGAAGGTTGGCGTTTTAATTGCTCGACGGAATTCTCCTTAAGGTCGTGCTAAGCGCCTCTTCCGAGCACCAGTTATTACAGAAGCCGAAAAATAAGTGCGAAAAAATTATGAGGGCATTATAATTAGTGTCGCTTTTTCAGAGTATCTTAGTTAGTAGTTATTAGTTCGAATATCAAATATATTTTACTATAAGGTAATAGAAAACCATCTTTGGATAATGTGAGCAACATTTTGTTTGATCGCTTTGGGTCCAGCCGTGCCGAAATTCAGATCCGCAGACAGACACTCGGACGGGCTAAGCGGACGAATGCGGCTAAACAAACGCTGCGTTTCAATTAGCTTCTCTACAGCTTATTTTGAGATAATAAATAATTAAATAAGTTACATAGATATATATAGTTTTCGCAATTGAAGCGTTCATCCAGACAGGCGAACACGGGAATAGATGGGCTGCTTGCTTCTGCCCTTCACCCTTCAGGTTCAAGTAAATTTCGAAAGGGAGATACTCGTAAATATAGCATTTAAAAACAAGAGAGAACGCTACAGTCGAGCAAGCCCGACAGTGTAATACCCTGTACCCAGGTAAACTTCCGTCACTGAGTTATATGCGCCCATAGCAGCAGCAAAAAGAGGAAGAAGAAGAGCGAACTTGTTGCTGCAGTTTGTGGGGGTTGTACTGTAGAAAATTTGTTTCGCTAATAACTTTTCTCAGAATTGACCGAATTGGATATTTTGAACAACAGTAGACAATTATATATAAATTATGTGTGCAAAGTTTGGTTGAGGTAGCATTTGAAATGTGGACGCTATTGACGAAATTCTGTAGCGGGGGAAGGGGGGGAAAATTAAAAAAAAAAATAAACTCGTCCTTACTCGGATCTGGGAGAATCTGGATGCCAACTTTGGTTATTCTAGCTTTTATAGTTTCTGAGATCCTCGCGTTCATCCAGACGGACAGACGGACGGACATGTCTAGATCGATTTCTCTCGTCATGCTGATTCAGAATATATATACTTTATGGGGTCGGAGATGCTTCCTTCTGCATGTTACATACTTTGCACAAACCTAATATACCCTTTTTACCCTACGGGTACAGGGTATAAAAATAATAGATTTCTCTACAACAGAAAATGGGAACAATCTGCTTTTGGAAGATAGAAAAACATTTGCTGCATCGCGTAAGAATATTTAAATTAAAATTGAAAGTTCGTAAGCCCCTAAATTATGATTTTAATTATGTTCATTTGTTTCCTGCGTCGTTAGCTAACTGTAAAACAACTATTGGTAGTGTTTCTGTCCTCAAAATTATTACAGCCTTAATTTCTTAGTTATTTGAAAGCTGTATTCTATCCCTCTTTCGCTCAAAAGATGCAGAACTGTTTATAGATTAAGCAATTTGTTCGGCATTTATGTTGCAATTAAACATTTGTATTGTTTTGGTCTTATTAATATTAATAAATAAATACATTGAGTTGGTGTTGTTATTTAGAGTTATTTAAAACACGCCCAAAACAGATCATGTCTATATCCAGCAATCCTTTTCAGTTTCATTCTGAAAAGTAAAGCCTTACCAAAAGTATTAGGCGTAATGTGACCTTGAAGGCTCATTCAACATGTACATTCCATGTCTTTTTTATCTACCTCTTTGCTAATTAATATACTTTTCGAATACATGTGTGGAATCTTTGATCAAATCCTTATCAGTGACACTAGTCATGTGTCTGACATTTGACCTTTTTACAAGCATTTCGACCATTCGAAGTAGTAGCAACGGCCACAATAACCAGGCATGTGGCATTTTCAATGTCAAGTCGTATGTTCAAGGAGTCATCTACCTGGAAATGTCGCCTTTAACAAAACGGCCTGGGTATTGGCAATTTCAAGGACGTGCAGGCGTTTAACAGGAAAGACTTATAATTGCTAAACAACCACACACCCACCCATTCACCCGCTCATCTATCCATCAAATCCGCTGACTTGCCATCGAGCCCCAGCGAATTTTTTTTAATGCCAGTAGCTTTGATTTGAATAAAGGGGAGAGAGAACAGTTAAAGAGGATGATGGAGACGACTGCGAGGTTGGCAGTTAATGGACACATTATTATTTCTTATGGCGCAACACCGCAGCAGAACAACAATAGGAAAACCAAACAACAGCTGTTGGTCTGAAAATACAATACACAACAAATAAGCCGCTGACTAAGTGACTAACTGACTGACTGATTGACTGACCAACGGCATGCAATGGGCAAGATGGACGAAGAAGTGGCGGCGACCGCCCAAAAAGTGCCAACACAAACGAACTCGGCGGTCATTTGGCTTTCGCCACTCGAACCGTGCGCCACGCGTACTCGCTCCTGTGAGTCCGCCCCATAGCTGGGCTTGGATAAAGAAAATATTGATTAACTTATTACGAGTGTATGTGCGTGTGTGTGTCGAGAACGGAGTGTTGTGGCTATTTATAAAGCGAGTGACCAAAGCAATGAAAGCCGGCCGTGGATAAGAACGACGCAAAACGCCATGCCAGAGACGAATAGCAATCATGAGCAGCACATAAATCCAGACGACTTCCCAAACAATAGACCAAATCACCAGGAGCACGAGCAGCCAGTGCCGGAGACGGAGATAGTGAAGAAGACAGAACCGAAACCGGAGCAGCAATCTGAAGCACGAGCACAAAACTTCTCCTTTTCCAGCAACTATCACTACGCGCCCGGGCGCAACCATCTGGACAACAACCAATATCACGTTCAACGCTATCAGAGTCCTTACAATTTCCAGCACATTGTGACCAACGCCTTTTCGGTGATACGACCCGAAACAATAGTCGAGAACCACATTAGCTTTCAGCCCAAACCGAACGCCATTGTGCGTCCCATACGACGTACCGAGCTTGACGCTGCACCGCAGCTACTGGAGCTGCAAAATGCAGCCGGAGGTGGAGGGGGATTGGGTGTGGGAGTTGGAGTGGGTGTGGGAGGCGACGGAGAAGCAGCAGAACGAGCCGCTGCCGGCACCAGCAACATATCTGGGCCTTTGAACTCACGCGCCTTCTACTCACGTAGCGTGCACGAGCCACGCAGCTTCGCCGATGAGCTTAGCCAGAAATTAAGGTTCCTAGCACCCGAGGAGAACTACGGCAGTGCTACCTGGATGCGTTCCCGTGGTGGTTCCGATGTAGCGCTCTCCCAGCGCCCGCGTTTCGAAACAACAGTGCCGTCTGGCATTTTCCTACCACCGCCCCATGAGCTGCAGTTCCTCCCGGCCTCCATGTTGCGACGTCATGTATACGCCTACTCCTCATATCCAACTGTGTTGCAAAGCTACTATAATGCCCCCAACAACAACAACAACAACAATAGCAGCAGCAACTATAATGGCAACAACAGCAACAAGGACAACGCTATGATGGATAATGAGGGTAAAGAAATAAAAGTGACGGCAACGCGTTTGGGTAGCATGCGTGAAAAACCAGCGGTAGCAAAAACCGCACCCACTCCCAGCACCACCACCAGCACCAAGTCGATGTTGCAGGGACGGGGTACGGCCGACAACTTGGACGGTGGTCTTCACATCACCAAAGCGCAGTTTCAGCAGCAGCTGCAACAGCGTCGCGCCAACGACAAGAGGTATAAAGGACTTACTCTATTTATAAATTCCAAAGAAATGGACATATGTAGATTTTCTATATCTCCATTACATTTCCATTATGTTATAGAATTCTGGTGAAAGCGACTCTTCCAAAAGCTATCTTTATAGAGTCTGATATTTAAAAAATGTTTATCACACATTACGATACGATTTTTCTATAGAAATTCTTAAATTACGCACATTTTTAAAGGTAGAGTCTCTTGTTACAACTCCCTTAATAACTTCCAAAGAAAATGAAGTTAGATATAATCGAGTCAATTTATGTTTCCAATTCTCTATTACGAATTGAAAAAAAATGCATTAAAGAAGTTTTGCATAGCTTCCCAAAAAAGATCTTTAAAATCTATTTCAATAATTTTTCGAGCTACTTAATGTTCTTCTTTTCCTATGAGGATTCTTCGTCGGAAGTGCGTTTAAAGCTGCCTTCGTATCTTGCGCAGAGAGAGTATTTAAAGTTTGCCAATTAAAAATTTATTTTAAAAAACTTATTCATGAACATCGATAATACCAAGCTTATTTTTTTCTGTTACCATTTCTTCTTAAAAAATTATCCTCCATTCTGTTATTCATTTCTTTACAAACATATTCTTAGCATGAACTTGAAAAACAAATCACAAACTTCTTTTAGTTCCTTTTTGTTCCGCATATAACAATTCTTCTGTTTCCCTATTTTTCCTATAACCATATTTCTTAGTAACAGTTCTTCTGATACTGAATCTACATTCGATGCAACTCGTATAATTATACTTTGAATTAGAAACGATTGTATACAAAAACCCTTAATTTCATTGAACATATAACTTAGAAGTGGGACCAATGGTCAAAGTCGGCTACTGGTAGTGACCAACCCCTGAAGTTAATTGTGGCACTGCAAACATCGTCGTGCAACGCAAAATTATTACCATAAATTAAAATTTATGAATTGTTTTTAGGTTAACTTTTACAACTTCTAACACTTGGCCTTCTTGTGGCTCAGCCCATACACATGCAATACATACTTACTATATGTAAAGCCAAAAAGGACGACAGTGTACTTCGATGCGGTCTATATTTATAATACATACATATGTAGATATATCGATTGAATGAGTCCAACAATTCAATTAGACTGTGTTCATTTCGATTGGCAGGAAATTTTAAAACCATTTGATTAATTTATATAGCTTCGCCGTACCTGTCCGGTAAAGGGTGTCGTTTAAAGGACATGCGAACTGACACGTCATGCCTTGGCTTTTAGTTCCCCCCAACGCTCTTTTCTATGCACCATCTTCAATAATTGAAGTCCTGATTTACTTATATGGTTTCAGCAGGAAAAAAAACTGTTGTAGAAATAAACTTTTAAATGTCATAACGACAATTTGAGGCAGCAGACTAACGTACAGTAGGAAATTTGTAAACGTCCAAGTTTTCATTATTACACTTAAGCTTCGGTCATATTTTGGGGAAAAAATATAAATATCTCTGAAGGTATTACAGTCGACCCTCGTTAATTCGAAACTCGAGGGACTAAGAGTCATACTGTCTTCAAATATAGTCAGCATTTCCGTAAAAAAGAAACTGGTGGAACATTATCGGAATACGAGCTTCAAGACAAAACATTTTAGCCTGATAGAGTTTCGTTTTCCGAAATTGCAATCAACAATATTAGATATTCAGAGATCAGATATTATAAGTACTTAGATCATAAACAATTTTGCCTATTTGTACAAAAATAATTGATTTACTAGAAAATTTGTATCTTATAAATTACCAAATTTTTAAGAAAAGAAAGTAAAAAGGATAATTCTAGAACCATTTACTCCTCTTACTTTTTTTTTGCTTATATATTTTTTCTATGAAATATCTATCCCATCAGGAAACACTACTTGGTACTTTTAGGGAATGGGAGAAGATAATTGATAATTACATAATTGAGTCTCGTAGACTTGACGAATTATGCTAAAAACCGTTTAAATATTAAATGACGAGCTTTTTTTAAACAGCAAAAACAGAGCACGTTCTCATTGTTTCAGTTGATGATTACTTTGTATTTCACCCAGAACACCCCCTTGTCGGACCCAATCGACCCAAAGCGGCACAGACAGCACAGACATTTGCCATTTGGTTGTGGCTCTTGGCTGTTGGCGAGAACTTCAATGTAACTTCCTGTTTGTGCACCAGTTTTGTACAGCGGAGTACTGAAAAATTTGCATAGGTCACGAGTTCAGGTTCTATGTAACGACAAAGGAGTGCAATGTCTGGCCACCTACTTATATACTATACACAACCAAATACATAAATAACTGACCAGAGAGAGAGAGAGAGAGAGAGAGAGAGAGAGAGAGAGAGAGAGAGAGAGACCTAAACAGAGACTTAAAGCAAGACGTACTTTAAGGCGGACTCTATTCTTACACTAAAGAGAGTATAGTATAGTCAGGCCGTTAACGCAAAAGTGTAGTGAACTTTACGGAAATTGATTTGAATCGGAGAAGACTTGACAGACGTGGGTGTGGCAACATACACAAATTTGATTGTTATCGCCTTGAAAGTGCAACAGATTTGGGCCGCACTTTGAACTGCTCGTCCGTGGGTGGTTTTGTTGTTATTTTTGCTTTGTTTTCCAATTGGGTCGAGGTTTACTAATTGGCAATGTTGCTTATTTCTCTGCAGACCGGTTGTGCCGCCGCCGGAGCCGTACAAGAACGTGATGTACGACAAACGTGTCATAAAGGGCAGTAATTTTGGTGCCACCTCGTTTATCGTAAGTACCGTTTAAACACTACCTACGTATATATAACTAATGACTTATACTTATAAAGTCGGAGGTGGATCCGTTTGACAAGGCCGCTGAGCTAAGGCGAAGGAATATGCTGCGCAAGCGTACCCAACAGTGTCGCAATCAGCGCAATGTGCTGGGGACGCCGCCGCCGGTCAAGGGGAGGAAACATGAGACCATACAGACAGAGAAATACTTGGAAAAGTTGGTGCAAAGGCCGCCCGAGCTTTCAGTGGACACACAAACAGACCTCTATTTGGAGAAGCCGCCCACTCCACTCTTCATACCCGCGAAGGTAGGCATTGATGTGGGTACGGAGATTGGAGATGGCGAGCTATTCCACTTCGATGCCGAGGCTCAGCCCATTATTGATGTGCTGGTCGATGCTTGCATTGAGCAGAGCATGCTGGAAGTGGCGCATGAAATGGAACTTGATGCTTTGCGCAAGAAGCAGGAAGAGTAAGAACAGGATATTTTATGCGTAAAATATTTTACCACTTACCGCACAATACATTTTTACAGATTCCTGGCAAGACGCGAAGCCGAGTTGGCCGAGTTGCGACGTCTGGAAGCCGAGGAGCTGCGCTTGCAGGCTGAAAAGGAGCGTCGTCTGCGACAAGACACCATTGCCAAGGAGCTGGACCAGGAAATGCAGAAGAGTGTGACGGCAGCGAAATTGTTACAAGGCCACATTGCCAGCCTCATCCCCGAAGTGCTGGAGAATATTGAGCCGGCCAGCGATGCTCTAAAGAAGGAGCAGCTTATGAAGAACATCTGTCCTTGGCTGTCTGCCGAAGTGGCCGAAGAAGTGGGCCATATTGTGGACTCGCGCGAGATACTCACTGCCATAATACAGGAGATTATCAAACAGCGCGCTGAAATCTACATCGGCTATAAGGAACAAGAGTCCGAGGCGCCCATGGATGTCGACATCTGTGAAGAAGAGGGTTGTGCGATTGACGAGATGGAGGCCTGTCCATGTGAAACGGAAACCGATTTAGAGGAATGTCCAGAGCCGCCGCCTGCGCCACCCACGCTATGAACATACATAAATAATATGATTTACATAGTTTAGTTCCAAATACATTTGCGTTTGAGCCATCCAAATACTTACATACATAGATATAATACAACAAAAGCTTACAAAATGGAGCGCGTGCAGCATTGTTGTGTGTGGCAACGCACCGCTGTCGATGTCGGCGCTATACACAAAAATATTGCAGATCCATAGGCACAACTCGAAATTGATGCAATTTTCGCAAACAAATGTAACTAAATATTGTTAATGGTTTTTGTGTTACCGAAAATTCAATGAATAAACCAAAAATTGCGCGAACATACGATCCACTGCCGCCGTTTTATTGCTTGCGTGTGGCACCGATCACAGCCATTTTTGGCAATCTGGCAGCTCACTTTAGTGATGGGACAGTTTCTCAAACGGTTGTGGTTGTGTAAAATGTTTCAGATAACATTATATACATATGTTACGAGTAGGCCTTCATTATAATGTGATTTTCTTTTCTTTTAATGGTAACTGTGCAAAATATTAAACGGGCAGGCAGCTCCATTTACTGATGAGCATTTTCCTAACTTACTTTATTTTCTCACCATTTGCAAATAAATTCAAATTAATATGAAACTGGTAGCACTGCAAATCATTTTTTTGTTGTTTAAAGTACCCTTAAAAGCTAGCTTCCAGTTCCTTTTTAAACTACAAGTAATTCAAGTATAAGTAAAGTTCAAAGAGGTTTTAATATATAGAACTGTCAATTGTTCAAATCTGAAGGTTTTTACAATTTTAGTTCCTTCCGTGTATTATACACTTCCCCTTACAGATGGTTTATAACGTTAACGAGCCTTTGGTGGAAATGCAGCAATCTACAATAGTCATTCCACGGGCTGCGTTTGTGCTGACCTCCATGACCCAGTCAACCCTGCACGTGATCACTTTGCCTCCATCAGGACAACAGCAGCCTCAGATTGCTTTTTTACGGCAAACTTCCATACAAGCGCAATTAATTTCTTCCATTCGAAATGGCATGATTTCGGTGTCACAGCAGCAGATCAGTGTAAGTACAAAACCCTTGAGGCGGTTTCTACTTAATCTGAACTTTTTCTTGAACGGATTAGTGATGACTTTGTTCTACACGCTGAACAACAGATGCCCTTCCAAACTGTTCCCCAAATGAATCACATGCCTCACATCAGAGCACCATCCCCACAACATCTTTCCCAGAGTGTTCAGAGTTGTATGACCCATCGAGAATCTTCTGCAGTAGTGGAAACGTCTAGGATGAATCAACCAGCACACCCAAGTCACACTTATCCATCTAAGCAATATTTCCAAGCCGATGCATCTAGAAAACGTTAACAATCTTGAGAGCTACAAAGGCACCAAAAGAGTTATTTTGCAAAATTGATGATATGGTCTCTATAGAGCTTCTTGATGACGAAGTTGAGTTCATTTGCGAGTATACATACCAAAGCTAAGGGCCTTTAAAAAGCTTTTACGTCAATATCATCGATTGCAATCGTAATAAAACAAAACGCATGTCATAATTTTATTGTAATGTATAACACTCTTTTAGAATTCGAATTAGTGTTATTGTTTTAATCTGATCTTAGTAGGCTTTGGAAAATGAAATTTGACATTGCAACATAAGCCAATTCTCAAATTTTACTTAAGTCTTCAGTTTAATATTGATCCTGAGTGTGCGTGGTTGTGCAAATTCTTAACAAAAATTAAGTAAATTGAGTGCTTAACCTAAGAAAGTGAAATTTTTTTACAGAAATTGCCAGACGCTGGAAAGCTACAGTACAAACAAAATTACAACCGTATGTTTGACAGTAACAAAGTTTTCATTGACAGCTGGTTAAAAGAAAAACATTTGTTTTAGATTATGAAGATGTGTGAAAGTACTGATCAGTCAGAATCGGAGATGGTTGATGTACCACTCATTTTGGACGAGTTACCGCCTTCCTTCCAGCAAACGTCGAACAATAATTACGTTATTTATAGTCAATCTTTTATTGACAATCGCGCGATTTCCGCCATTCCAGATCTCAATCGCAGCAGGGCTAATATGCTTGTGATGCTTCCGTCTGGACTGCAATATCTGATTACATTTACTCTACCAGCAGAATCTTGTTCGGTTCACGATCTTTTGCGTATGGCTGGAATTCAATTTGACAATAACACTGTTATAGGATGCATAGAGCATTTCGGCAACTATGTGGACTTTATCGTGACCGTTGGCTTTATTATAGAGGGAATGCCATAAAGCCACAGAACTAGAAAACTGTATTGGATATCAAATAACAATACTGACTTACACCTTCTCAACTAATTTACTAAAATTCAAATGCGCAGCACACGACATAAACACACAAAATAAAATGATCTAAATATCTACACTCTTTTAAATATTATTATATATATTTATGATACATTTCTTTAAGCTCTATTGTTTGATTATCGTCGATGTTTTTTTTTTAAATCTTTATTCCTTATGTTTGAAAGCAAAAAGTAACCTGAGTTTTTGAAATTCGAAAAACGGCACGAAACTATCGACACTATCGATAGATTTACAGGCATCACTGTTACGTTTAAAGTTATCATTTTTTTGTAGGCACCTTTCAGTACATCTCTAAAAAAACGGAACAAAACAACGCAATATGTCTAAGATTTTCACGCCCACAAACCAGATCCGCCTTACAAATGTAGCAATTGTGCGTCTAAAGAAGGGTGGAAAGCGCTTTGAGATCGCCTGCTACAAAAACAAAGTGCTCTCGTGGCGAAACAACAGGTGAAATGTTCACGCGAAGGTTCGCACGTGCATCACCGGCTGATTTGACAATTTTTTTCTTCAAATAGTGAGAAAGATATTGATGAAGTCCTGCAGACACACACTGTGTTTACAAACGTGTCCAAAGGTCAAGCTGCCAAAAAGGATGAGCTACAAAAGGCTTTTGGAAAAACGGACGAGACGGAAATATGCAAAGAAATACTCAGCAAAGGTGAACTGCAGGTTTCGGAGAAGGAACGCCATAGCGTCCTCGACTCCCAACTGAGTAGCATAGTTAATAGTGTGGCGGCATTGTGCGTTAATCCCGAAACGCGTCGTCCTTACCCGGCCACCATCATAGAGAAATCGCTCAAGGACGCCCACTTCTCGGTGAAGATGAACAAAAACACCAAACAACAGACACTGGAGGCCATCAAGCTTCTACGCGAGCACATGCCTATCGAACGATCGCGCATGAAGCTACGCGTCTCCTTTGCCGGCAAAGAGGGTGGTCACAAGCTTAAGGAGTCTGTGGTGAAGCTGGCTAATGCAGTGGAGCACGAGGAATGGGATGAAGCAACGCTCCACTTAACATTACTCATAGATCCCGGCCAGTATCGTGTTATCGACGAGTTGGTTCGCAACGAAACAAAAGGCAAGGGCCTGCTGGAGCTGCTGGAACTTAAGGAGGTCGTTGAAAGCGATGAAGTGTTTTAAGTGATAATATGTTTGTTTATAAGTTGACATAATTTTGAATACATAACGGTTACACTGTAAGCTTATTAACGGAGCAAAACTAAGATGCGAGGTGCGGCTGGGGTCGCCTCATTTGCGCTTCTTCAGATTCTCAAAACGACGTGAAAGGTCATCAAAATCGATTTCATCATCGTCTTTTTTCTCATCACCGGGTACATCGGGCAAATCGAGCGGTACATTAGGCAGCGAAGGCAATTCCGCAGGTGGTGGTGCACTTGGCATTGAGGGACCACCGGGAGGCAACTTTGATCGTGGTTGGGGTTTCGGTTTGTTCGCATTCTGTAGTGGAAGAATAAATTGTAAACAGATCAGTAAATTAAAACAATTGTGGGTGAGCTAGCATGAGTCATGCAAAAAAATAGTAAGAACAAATCAAGTGCACGTTCAATATAGTGAGCATTCTATGAAGAGGAACAAATTAAAAGTATCTTCGACTTTTAGAATGCATGTTCAAATAATTATAAGTTGAATTTATAATAATTGTGACTTGAATATATGCCGAAATTTTTTTAGACTATTATTAGGCTATAGGATATTTCATATTTTTCTGCAAGAAAAGAAGAAAGAAGACGATCTCAAAATCAAACTTTCATTCTTAATCAGTTTTGATTGAAACACCATAAAGTTATACAACCGTAATTATTTATCGTATTTGTTTCATAATTATTCGGGATATTGTAAGAAATAAAAAGTGTCACTTTTTCCATTGATTTTGGCAATCAATTCTTTGGCATTTAATCACGCTATTTCGGTTAAATAAAATCAAAAGCTCATTATAGCGAACGTGCACTGTTAATAAAAAAAAAAAATTGGGAGCTACCTGCAAGTTTACAGGATTAATTGAGGAGTAGCGGGGCGGCGGATCGTTGTGTAGTTTTGGACGCTGCGTGGCAAAATAAAAACCGCATAATTAAATGATAAAGTAAATAATTATAGACAATTAAGATAAGAGGAATGCAAACAAAGCATGGACGAAATTATGACTCATTTGGGTGTCTGGTAATTCCACTTACAGGAAACGTATTGGTGTATTAGACGTCACGACACAGAGAGAAACAGAAGCCAGAAATCGCAAATATATACATATTTATGAAAATGTTGGTTAAGAGCGAAAACAGTGTTGTTAGTTGGGCGGAAAATTCTACAGCGAACACGCACACCTACCAAAATATTTTCATCCGGACTACCATCTGGAGGCGTCACAGTATTATTAGTTTCCTGCTGCAGGTGTACGGATCATGCAAAGACATGCTAAGTAAAGCTCATACTAGAAAAACATTTAGGGTCTAAACTTACGTTGATGAAATTCGTATTTAAATCCTTTTTCTCATCACTGCCATTCTTTGGTGGCGTGGTGGGCGGTGGTGGCTGATAGGGCGGAATATTGTAAGCGAAGGGCGGTGGTTGGTGGCCACCAGCAGCATAAGCATTTCCTCCAGCACCTCCGCCAGCTGCACCACCACCACCAAATGGTGGATAGTTAAATGGCTTTGTGGATGGTGGTTCCGGCATTTGTGGCAACGGTGGCACAGCCGGGTAGCCAATAAAGCCCATTTGTGGCGGATGAGGAACCCCGCCACCGCTGAGATTATTGCGATCCGACAAATCAATTAGGTGATGCTGCTGCCCATCGGGTTTTTGTTCCTCTTGCATAACCTGTGGATCCGGCTCGTACTCGATATTGTAATTTTTAGCTATGGCAATCAAATAGTTTTCGACCAGCAATTTTGGTGGTGCCTGTAGGGTTAGCTTATGCATGAGCTTTTCGGAGACATTATGATCGCCAGTAGCTGTTCGAGAATGCTCCCCAAACTCTGGTCCATATTTAGCTATAAAGATGTCGGCAATGATCCTCAGCTCGGCTATGTCGGCCTGCATGCGTGGGCAAACCCACACCAGGCTGGAGACGGCTTCGGCAACTCCAGCGTCTAGCTCCTTCATTTGAGTGATAAGGCCGAATCGAGCAAGCAACAGGTCGCAGTACATTTCCACCATTTCCATAGCCTCGACCAGATAGTCCTCACTATGGGAAACAAGCAATTGAGTTAGTAAAACAGGAGTGCGTCTCAGGAGCTTAACTAGCCATACAAACCGTATAATGTGCTCAACCCGTATGCGTGCTCTTTCTGTCTTGCCCGTGGCCAAGTAATCAGCAATTTCTTTGCGAGATTTTTGTGCCAGCTCGGATTTCTTTTTTTCCAATAGCTTGAGACGATTCAGCGCTAAGCGCAGATTTGTCTTTAGCTTATTGTAGTTAGGACCACTGGAGAACATCTTGGCAGAGCAATGGTACTTTACAGACTAATTTTTATCATGAACAAAACTAAAACAACATTCGGGTAATGATTCATGTATCAGGAAAACAAATTGGTAGTGACGTCATAAGCCCAGCGTTGCCAGCTTTTACGCTATCAACGGGTTTAAAGAATTTCCTAACGTACTTGCAGCACACAAAAATATTTACGCGTGCATATGATTGTTTTATGCCAGCGTTTTTTGAACCTATATTATTTATTTAATTACGACCATTAATACTTAAAAATACTTGTTTAATTTGACAAAAAATATGATTAATGGTTTGCAGTTGGCAGGCCAACCCAACGGTCTAGTAAAGTGGTAATGCGCATTTAATTATTGTTTTGATAAGTTGGCAGGTCTATGGGTCTCTGCTGTTCTGCTGCTGCTGCTTCCTCTTCAAAATATTCCTTTCGCGCTCCACACAACTGTGCTTAAACTCGCGATTAAAGACGAATTTAATTAATTAATTACGCGATAATATAATTAAAGACACCATGTGCAAGATGTGGCAAATGAAAGCAAATTCGTGTCGTGCTATATTAATGCACTTATTGCTGAAAATTGACGAAACTCCAGTGATAAGTGACCTGCAAGTATTTAGTGGTACCTCAATTATGTCGAAACGCACTACATGCCAAACAGAGGTACCACTATACATTAGACGTAAACGCACAAAACGCAGGCCGCGATAAAAGTGTGCAACAAAACGTAACTGAAAGTGTTGTTTATAAACACGGCCCATCTCGCCGATAGGTGGTGCCTTCATGAAATTTTGGCATTGCCAGCTGTAAGAAACGCTGTGCCGTCGTCTTCAGTGTCGTCGCCATATTTAATTCTGTGCTGCAAGAAAGCAATTTTTCGTAAAACGCAGCCATTATTTGATGACATTCAATTAATAATAAAAAGGAACAAAATGGTGTGAGAAAACATATACCAAGTGTGTGTTACATTTGCAGTGGCATATAAGAAACTTTTTGCCCACAGCTCAACAGTATAAGGTTTGTTATACCCCAGTGTGCGACTCGAAATTGTATAATGGAAATTGTTGGACTCAATGGTGGTGTCTTTCCTATATGTGTATATGCGAATATAATGCGAGCGTGTGAGCGGTGCTGCTGCCTGCGTGTATTGCTATTTTAGAATCGAACCTGGACACTGCAGTATGAAATTTAGTTTAATAGCAAGAATGCAAATAATGCCTGATCCTTTATCGATTCAATTTCTAAATTCATATGTATGTATAAATCATATGTACGTATGTATATAAATCTATACATATACATATGTAGAAAAGAATATAAAAGTGTATTTGTGCAGCGGCCTTGGCATTCATGCCAACACATGTGTCCAGTCAAAACTCAATTATCATCCGTAATATTGCAGTACATAATATGGAGCAATATATAGGACCTATCGAGGACGCCGTTTATTCGGACTTGAAAGTCGTCCAATTGCAGGGAGATGAAGTTAGCGTAAGTACAACCCCATTCCACAGCCCGCATATATTTTTTGTTTTACACGCCTATAAATCGATTCATACAGCCGCTTGTTCTGCCGGACGATCAACAATTGGTGTTCCAAGATAATCAGCAGGTTGTCTACCAGACCGCTGCGCCAGTGCAATATCAGCAGCCGCAGCAGACCAGCGCACCGGCCCATTACATTATTGGGGCCGACGAATTGGCTCAGCAGCAGGCACAACAGCAACAACAACAAGTAGTCCTGCATCCAACACTAGCCGAGCAACATCATCACCAGCAGCAGGTTCACTATCAGCAACAACAACAGCAGCAGCAGCAGGATGCACAACAAATGCATTTGGAACAGCAGCATCAGCAGCAGCAACAACAATACGTGCAGCAACAACAACAAGCGCCAGCCATTCAGCACACACATCAAATCTACTACACCTCGGAGCAAGTGTTGCAGCCAAACACGATTGTACAGCACGCATCTATGCAGCAGCAGCTCCAGCAGAAGAAACAGCAGCAGCAACAGTATCAGCAACACGCTCAGACCACGTACCAACAGCAAACGGCGCAACTGGTCCAGACCAGCCAACTACAACAGTCGCCACAGCATCAGCCACAACAACACACTCTCCTCCAACAGACTCCGCCACAGGCGCAGCAACAAACGCTGCAGCTACAAACGCCGACGGGTCAGCAGCAATCCCCCATTGTGTATCGCATGACCACAACGCCACATCAGCAACGACAAATCAGCGTAAGTACTAAAGAGTCTTTTTATACATTATTCGCAATTGAGAAGGAATTTGCTTAGGTATGTACAGCCCCAGTAGTTTCCATCTTAATAGTGCGCTCTTTTGGAATTACTTAAAATTATTTTCACTTACCTTTTAACTTGAAAGAAACATTGAAATCAAAAGTATATCGTAATTAAATGAAAAATGCTTTGTTTAGTGGCAACTATATAAACATGTCCGTTATATATATTCCTTTATGTCTTTTATTTCAATTTAGAACTGAAAGTTCTTAACTTTTTGGCATATAATTTTATAATTAGGATATATAAAATTCTATAGTTTTTTTTGTCACCTAAAGTACCATTTAGTCAGTTCATTAATTCATTTTGTGAGTCAGTCGGCTGCCTGAGTTTATTCAACATCGGGAATGTACTCGTAAATAGAGTTTATAATCAAAAAAGCAGTGGTTGCTATATCTATTTCAAAACATATAGTTGGATCTCATAGGTATAAGTATATTTAATTGCCTTATTGAATTTGACAGACTTATCTTTGTTGGAACAATCGTTGCAGACGTAACAATCAATTTGTTATTATTGTAGATATCACAGCAAGATTATATGTTGTTACGATTCCAATAACAAATTGTAATCAATAGAAAATTAAAAAGGTGTATCAAATACACATTTACCTTATACCTACTACATATGTATATGAAAACTGAATATAAAGCTAGAATTAACTTTTTGGTCAGATTGAAGGTTAATCGTTAATCTCTCGATTCCGACAGACAGCACCCAGTCTTATTTTGCCACTCCTTGCTATGCGTGAAATATTTTTAATATCTTTAATCCTTCAATATGTCCTTCCAATCCATTTGCAGATGTTAAATAACACCCACGTAATTGTTCAGTCGCCTGGGCAGCAAGTACTGATACAGACACCCCAGCATCAGGAGCTAATCATGCGACAGGCTACGCTGCCCCAGCAGGGCATTAACATACACACCTACAATGCGAATCGGGTGGTTTACACCACCTCGGCCCAGCAGCAACACACACTCCTGCAGAGTCCGCAGCACGTTCAACAACAGCAGCAGCAGCAACAACAGCAATTGCAACTGCAATCATCGCCACTGCACACGCAAACGGCACATCTGGTGCAGGCGAGGGTGGTGCAACCGCCGCAGGGCAATGTCATCTATCAGCAGGTGCAGATGCAGAAATCAACCTTAACCCAATCCCCTCAACAACAGCAACAGCAGCAGCAACAACAACAGCAGCAGCAGGTACAGTTGCATCAACAACAGCAACAACAACAACAGCAGCAGCAGCAACATCAACAGACAACCACTCAGCTGGTCACTACAAGTGCCACCGGCACGCAAGTGGTGCGTGCAGTTTTTCGCCCAAAGGTGCCACGTGGTGCTGGCACCATGACCAACAGCAGTCGCCCGCCCAGCCTGATCGCCACCCGACCAACTTTAACACCCGCCGGTGGTGCAGTGGTGCGACAAGTGCGTCCGCGTGGTGGCCTGCATGCGATCGGCGGTGCTGCAATGCGAAACATTCGTCCGGGCGCTGGCATACGCGCCACTCGACCCACAACCGCGCAATTGCTGGTGCAGACCAATGTCGGCGATGGCCAGACCATGCAGATCGTCACCCCTGGCCAGGCGACGCACGTGATGCAGCCCAAGCAATTGACAATCACAAATCTGGGGCAGCAGGCTGTGACTGGACAAACACAGCGTCTGTATCGAACTCAAATTGTAAATGAGACTGCGACAGCCACGACGTCATTGACGCAACAGCAACACCAACAGCAGCAACAGCAACAAATGCATATGATGCGACAACCCATACGTTATCGCGCCATTAGTGGCTCTCCAGCATCGGTGGTTAACAATAGCGCGGGCAACACCACCACCACAACAACAACCAGCAATAGCAGCAGCAACAGCAGCAGCATGGGTCTTGATCTGGAGGAGCGCATACCGGGCGCTGTGGTCAAGAAGGAGCAGCAGAAGCCAGCAGTTGTTGGTGCCGCTGGAAACGCCACCGGCAACACAAACACCATACCCATGCAGTTAGGCACTGGCACCACCACGCTAACCAGCTATAGCAGCTCCAGTGCCAGCGAAGAGGAGCAGCATGGCATGCGTCCCGCAAATGCCAACACCATGACTGTGGCCGAGTATAAAAAACGCCAGCCGGCAAATGCTGCTCCATCGACCCTGACCGTGATGCGCCAAGTGGGTGGCAGTGGTGGTGGAGGTGGGGTCATACCAACACGTCCTGCCAATTGCGCTGCCAAAATGCCATTGACTAGTGCGGCAGCTCTCGCTGGCCAGGCACCTGGAGGCACACGACTCGTCCAACAGCCACAATCTCAGCGCACAGTCCATTTGACACAGACGACAAACGCCGCGACGACGACAGCAGCGCCACCGCAACCACAGCTATCCTCAGTTCAGCAGACATCGCACAACAACTACGAAATTCATTCCCAGCATGTGCTCAACAATCGTGCTGGCTTGGCCATTGCGGATCGGGATCGGAACAGTGCTAAAATGCTGGTAATACTTGCCTCCGGCGAGCAACGTCTCATTACGTTCACATTACCGCGAGAATCTTGCACGGTACAGGATCTGCTGGAGCAGGTCAGTGTACAGTTCGATGACAATACAACCATCCAGTGTGTGGAGCATAGAGGCGCGAATGTGGACTTTGTGGTCACAGTTGGTTTTTCAGTCAACGAGTCGGCGAGCGAACTCATCTCACGGGCCGAGGAAAGTCTACAGATGACGCGCACCCAGGAGAGCGGCGGCTCAACGGCTGCTCAGACCCAGACTCCGGCAGCAACAGCTGCCTCTGCCGCTTATAGTCAGGCCACAGCAGCAGCGGAGCAAGCGAAACGCGAGGCAGCCACAACCGCCAATGCTGGTAATGCACAGGCAGCTGCCGCAGATGCTGGCACAACGTCGGAGGAGCAGCCGCCCCGGAAAATCATTGCCGGTTTCTATGCCGTGTGCCATCTCTGCGGCTTCACCGGCGACGATCATGCCAAGTGTGAGCGTTGCAAGCGTGTCTTCCATGAGCCGCCAAAACGCAAATCCTACGTGCCTAAGAGTGGAAATCCTGCGACCGCAACAGCGACAGTACCAGCAGTGGCAACGGGTGAGACGCCGTATAAGAAAGGCAACGCTCTGCCAACAGTAGCACGAATGGGAAAACAGATCGGTGTAGGCGGCTTTGCAACCGCTACCCGTGGACGCGGTATGGCTATACGTGGACGCACACGCAGCGGACGACGTGTGGCCGAAGCCGAGCCTGTAGTGCTGCTGAGCAGCGAGGATGAGGCAGATGTCGATGACGGCAACTCCGCAGGCGACAATGTCAGTATAGCCGTCGATCACCAATTTATCGCATACGTATTTCAATTTGGTGTATTCTTTCCCATTCTTTAGCTGTCGACTGGAAACGATGCTAATAATGCAAATGGCAGTGCGCCGAACATACCAGCTGCCTTTGCTTTTGACCCAACCGTGGCGGACGCTGACGAGGAAGCGCTATATAAAGGTGAGTTATTTACACTGGGCGGACAAAAAGGTTGATTTGTTATTGATTTTGTCGAACAGCTGCTTACAAACCCTCCAAACAAAATACGGCCACACTATTTTTTATAAAGGTTCAGAGTTTATTATTAGAATGACCAGCGCCCTTTTAGATAGATTCTATTTAATACTTTTTACTTTTTGTGCTTTCAAACGGCTGTTTTATTTTGTTTACTTTTTAAGATGGCCGTTCCGTTTAAGTTAGTTGCCGGAATACCACCAGTGTGCAAATCTTGTTGTCCCATTCCTTCCAAATTAAACATGCTTTGTTATATTTCCTTCCAATTTAATGCTGGCAATGATACAGTTAGTTCATGTCATCGTTCAGCCGCCAGAGGGCGTTGCTACGACACGCCATTTTGCTGCTGTCAAAAAAAGAGGAAAACACAAAACAAGCGTGAAGAAACGCATCGCTAAGAATTCATTTTACAGAATTTAGTTATATTTAATTTTTCACAGTTAGCAATTTTAATGTGGTCATTTATTATGTATTGAACAATAACTACTATTATTATTAGTAATTTATAAAAAATGAATGACGACGGTATGTAATTAGAAATAGAAAAACGCGTGGGTATGTATGCATGTGTGCTTGACTGGTTATGTTTGTGTCTGTATTCGTAAAAGATGCAGAAATGTGACTGCGGTGTTTTTCTTTTTTTTTTTTCTCATGTTGACAATGCATACTCAAATTAAAATCATTGATGATTACTTTTTGCAGATTTTGTGCGTGGGGATGTTACCGATCTTTCGCACGCCGACAATGACGATTCGTTTAGCATATCAGTGGCTTGTACATGCATGCGTGTTCTGCCACATCGATTCGATCAAATGGGGCCGGTAAGCAAGCAATAAATGAATAAATTTGAGCCATTTTCTCAGATCTAAATATGTTTGTAATGTCATCATTCAGGTAATATTTACATCGAAGGGTGTGCGCATTTCTGGGGTCCTGCCGGGCAAGGACGAGAAATTTGTGTTGAACATTTACAAGCACGAGGTGATAAAAGTAATCGCTCATTTCGCCAGCAATGATCAGGCACAGCCACTGTTAACTTTATATGTGCTGAGGAAATGTGCACAGTACGTGAAGAGCTCATTGAACTTGCCCGAGGAGCAACTAAGCGACCGTAAGTTGAGTCTCGTTATTTTGAAGAAAACATGATTTAATGAACCTTAAATTGGACTGCTTTTAAAGCATTCACTACAAGTATTGTAAATATAGTATAATTTATAGAAATGGTTGCTTTCGCTCTTCTATTGCAGAATTCGAATTTAAATCCAATGGCAGTACGCAACACAATCGCCGGCTTATTCTGCTCTTCGATGCGATACCATTTGCAGCTCGCGAAACCATTAAGGCCATGTTCTCCTGTCTAGATGAAATCCAGTCAGCGGACGCTGCAGAAATTTTCCAACGTATTGGCGACATGGATCGCAAGTCGGCAGAGGTGCCATCAAAGCAGTTACCGCCACGTCAGCTACGTCCCGATGAGCAGGTAAATCTGCTTATGTATCCCCCTAAGGGTGCGGGTGGACTGAGTATCCGTATGGAGGACTATGTGTGTCTGACGAAGGAGTCTTATTTAAATGACATCATCATTGATTTTTATCTGCTGTGGTTGCGTAACACACAAATTTCTGAGGCCCAACGGGAACGCACACATATATTTAGCACCTTTTTCTATAAGAGATTGACGACGCTAACAAGACCGACGGATATGAAGCAGACAGCGGCACAAAAACGTCACGCCCGCGTACAGAAATGGACAAAGGGCGTGGATTTATTCGAGAAGGATTACATTATAGTGCCCATCAATGAGCAAAGCCATTGGTTTCTGGCTATCATATGCTTTCCCTGCCTTACCGGGCCAGTGACCTTTGATACGAATGTGCCCGTCGAACCCCAGCAATTAAAGCGCACGCGTGGCAAAAAGGTGGCCATGCAGATTGGTAGTACGACAATAACACCGCTGGTAAAACGGGAATCCACTGGCATGCCAGCGCTGCCTGCTGAAATTTGTCGGATAGGCGACGATGAGAGCGAGCGTGATGAGGCTGAGGGGGATGAGAGCGACTTGGCATCGGAGGACAGTGAGAACTCCAACCTTACAACTCCTCCATCAACAAGCACACCATCAGCGGCATCTAAGGAGACGACGCCGACAATGGCGACGTCGACACCAGCACGTGTTAACGCCGGTGGAGGCGATGTGCCTGCGGTGAAGCAACCACTAATTCTAATATTCGATTCACTGGCAGGGGCGTCCCGCAGTCGTGTGGTTGCTACATTACGGGACTATCTGACCTGTGAGTATAAGGTTAAGAAGCCTGATGCACCGCATCGTGTCTTCAACAAGGACAATATGCCTGGTCATTGTGTGAAAGTGCCACAACAAAATAATTTCACCGATTGTGGCCTCTATCTGCTACAATATGTGGAACAGTTTTTCAAGGAGCCCATACGGGATTACAGGCTGCCCATTAAGCAGCTGAACAATTGGTTTGATTTGCTCACAGTAACCAAGAAGCGTGAGGATATTGCTTTGCTAATCCAACAGTTGATGGACGACAACAACACACAGCGCCGTCTTATATTGCCAGTCATCGAGTTTCCCACACTCAATGGTCAGCTAGTCGAATATCCCGAGGAGGCGGAAAGTGCAGAGTTCGAAGAGGAAGAGGGCCATGAGGATGAGGATCATACTAGTGATATGGTATGTGCAGTTAGTAATTAAAATGCTCCAAATTCGTACGATTATTAATATTTCCTCCTGCACAGCATGATGAGAATAACGCTCCCACCGACATGGAAGTAGATCCCACTGCCGAGGAGCTGCAACAGGCCAAGACAAATGCTGTGCGCAATCTCTCAACAGCAATTGCAACCACAGGATCATCTGGATCATCTACTGCAACCACTAGCCTTACGACAACAGTAACGACGTCCTCAACTCGAAGAATTGTCCTAAAACGTCGCGTTCCTATTAATACTGCTGTGACGACGAGCGGCAGCAATGGCAGCATTGGAGCCATCTGCGCGGGCAATGGAGAGTCTCCGACGGTCTGCTCTTCGCCAGGATTGACCTCCACTGTTCGATTATCAGCCGCGAATCCAAGTGTCGGCCAAGGCAGTTTAAAAATACGTAAAATCGAGCCGTAGTAGACAATGTTAAGATATGGATCTGATAATGATGACCGGTGCATGCGCCAGTTTCAAAAAATGTGTAAATATTAAGGTAAATGATAAGCTGAAATTTATAAATATATATGCGAGTATACATACATGTGCATACATATTGATTTGGCAAGTTTAAAGCTATGATATGAAGTTTTGATAAACATAATTCCAAAATAAACATGCATATGAAATTTTCAAAATATTTTATTAAATTTGTGGACTTAAAGTATAAACTCGATGGATCGTTTCTTTATTGTAAAAATTGTTTTATCTAAACCTTGTGTTGAATTATATTCCTTCTAACGAAAGATGGCAATTTTGGTTTTACATTCGATTTGGTTAGCAAGGCTGAAAACATTTCAATGTCATTGTATGGAAAAGGTTATGATTTGAAAAATATTCGATGGCTTTTTTGGTGTGCTTAAGTCGGAAATAGTGGGTCTTATCAAGGTGAGTATAACATTTTGTAGAGCCTAATAGTATTGCCTGAAAGTAAATTTCTTTTAAAAATGCTTCTCTTATGCTTGTTTGTTTTCAGCCATGATTTTAAATTCCTAATAGTTAGAATTGTAAAAAAATCGGTTCACATCCGCGCTAGTTTATGTGTAGTATAAAACAAATAAGATCTTAATTTAATCTTATATCCTCTAGGGATATATTTGGAACTACTTAGTTTTTATTTGTATATATTTATAGTTGGTTTTGAGAATTGTTGCGATTTTTTGTTGGATTTAATATGAAATATTGCTTAATGCTGTGCCTATTAAGAGTGGGAAGTCGAGAATATTGTGTTAAACGGATAAAACCGCAATATATATTTCATTTATAATTAATTAACATCCAACAACCCGCCTTTCAAGTTTAAATGAGTTACTGGCTGCGTCAATGAACTTAGGTTGTACAATGTATGACAATCTTAAATTTTCTCAATTATACTAAATATGGAAACATGGTAAATACATATTTGATGTATCTTAGTTTCTGTAAATTACGAATTTTTGGAGCTCAAATGGAATGAAAGGTCCAGTTAATTCGATTCTCTTTCTGATAAAGGCGTTTTATTTGTTCATGCAATGCCAAGTCACTGTATTTCTTGATGTTAAGGTTATTTATATTTACAAGTAAATAAATTACATTTCTTCAATTAAATAAGTATTCTTATCTTAAAGATTTTGTAGATTTTGGCTTGTAGCTAAGCGGATATAATATTATACAAATGTATTGTAATTTTATTTCTAGTATATAATATTATACAAATGTATTGTAATTTTATTTCTAGTATATAATATTATACAAATATAATATATACAAATGTATTGTAATTTTATTTCTATCACATGTGTCTTTTATTGGAGATCTTATTTATGTATAAGTATTTATAAATTCTACTTAACCATCTCCACTCGCATTTCCGATGCATATCCACACTTTTAATTGCAGGGTGGGGGTAGAGAACTACATGCATACATAAGTATGTACATACTCGTACATACATATGTAAATAAAAATCCATATGTACAGATGTATGTAAACATAAATGTATGTATAATCAGATCAATTTAAAATTTAAATTATTGCATAATGTTTGTAAGTTGCATTTTTATTGCAGTGAAAATGCAAAAGTTACATTCATTTAGTTTGTATGCGTGCTTTTTGTTTATATTTTTCTAATGCGCGGCAAAAGAAGGCACGTTCTTGTCAGGCGTTCTCCCCCCGCTCCACATCCCTATGTCTAAACCAGTTTGTATTTGTGCATGCATGCCATGTATGCTAGAACCACCATGTATATGTAATATACATGGTGAGACTTCGTTGGCCCATAGGCTGTGCAATAAATTGTGTTGCAACTTGGAGGTGAAGTTTACATTGCCAATGGCTAAGAGTTGTAACTCATTGCCAAAAATCTGGTTATGGTTACTGTTATTTGATTGCTTTTACGTAATTTAAAACATTGCCTACTACTGCACCCCACTACACTTGCCATGTATGCCCATAAATATGTGTACATGACAAGCTCTACATGGTGCAGTCGTCATGTAGTTTGCGGCAGCCTCGCAAGTAAGGTTATGTTTACAAACGTGAGCGAATGGCGTGCATAAGACGCAATGGGCGATAGTCAAAAACCCCACTTCCCGACACATTTACCGTTTTACAGCACTACAACAGCTGATTACTGAAAGACAGCCAATTTTAATAAATATTAAAAATAATACTTAGAGTGGTATAATGAAGAATTTAAAGTTTATGTGGGATACAAAAATTTAGTTATGAAATAACAAATTATTTACAAAAAATAAGGAGTGTACACAAATGTAACGAGTTTTAAAGCGATTAACATTAATCGATAACGCTTGTTGTGTCAACTTCTTTGGCGGTGCTGTGACTGTTAAAATACATTGAATTGCAATTCCATTGCTATATTTATATGAATCAAATTTATTATTTTGAATTAATTATTTCTGTATTTTTGTCTTAGTTATATTAGTAGTTTCGTCATTATATATTTACATTATTGTAGACAAACAGTGACTTGTTGGATTGCAATACTCGTTCCAATAGAACAGGTATATAGATATGGCGCATCTCTATCCAAAGTAGTATATTTCGTGTGCCTAACGGACTCGGTTGTGTTGAGGAGTATGTGTTGTGTACTTAAACGCTCTGAAAAGGAAAAATTAAATCGAAAAAATTTAAAGCCAACCTTTTCGACACAGCACACCGACTGCGCAACACACTGTGTCAGCCGAAGATGTAACTAATAGTTTGTACCCCTAAAATAGAGTTGCACACGAATTCATTGCGCTCCTGTTACAGCAAAAAAAAAAAAAAACGATTGAGTAGAAAAGCGCAATAGCAAAAAAAGAAAATTTATTATCGTTCTGAAGAATTTGAGTATTGTGCCCGATATATAAAGGAACTGTTATTTTCTTGTGTTGCCGATAGTGATAAACGGAATCAACGGGATACCGCAGCACCCCCGCGCTTTTTATGTGAATGAGTGCGTATTTGTGAAAAATAATTAGCATTTCATGCGCCATTTGGGTAATTAAAAAATTTCCTCCAACCGTTTGTGCGCCTTCGTCTATATGTGTGTGTGAGCGTGCGTTCGTGTGTATGGAAGCGAAAAAAGAAATTGAGTATAAGGAAATGGGCGTCAGGCAACGGCAACAGCGCTAAAGTTAAATGACATTTTCGCACGTAATCGCACGCGGGTCCGTGTTAGCATTGTGAAAAATATACATATATGTATATATATACATGTATTAATAAAAATAAATACACACTGCAGCAGCAGGCAGCATAAAAAGGCGCTTTTTAGTCCCCGCGCATGCCCGCAAATACGTTGGCAGCGCTGCAATTGTTTAAAATACTCCCAAAACTAAAAACAAATGTGTCGTGTGGCGCTACAAATTACATTTTAATTAAGAAAAGAAGCATGTGTGTGTGTGTGCGCGCATAGAAGTGGCAAAATAGAGACCGAAACACCAACAAGAAAGCGCAATCATCGACCAACAAAAATCAACACTGCCTGTGTGAAAAAGTGAGCGGGGCGGCTAGTGTTTGCCACAAGTAGTGAACACAATGAGCAACGTGTGCGGTAGAAGCGCTCCGCTATATTGTGGAACGGGGGAAAAGCAGCAGCAGCCTGTCGACAATTGTGTGTGTTTGTTGGTCGTCTGTTTTGATTTTCTCTTCTTAAAAATAAGCGCGCGAAAGGGGTGCGCGTGTATCATGACTTTCCTTTTGCCCGATTCCGTGCCTTCTCAGTGAGATATAGTATGTGTGTGTGTGTGCGTGAAAATGTGTGAGTGAGTGTGGGTGCGTTTTTTGTGTGTATCGGTATTCGGCGCGCTTCTGATAAGTGATAAGCCTTGTTTGTGTATCTTGTAATTTGCAGCCTTAATTTTGTTTCTTTTTTTTTCCACCGAAATAACACATGTTGCACATATTTGTGTCGCCACATTTCCCATTTGGGCACAGGATATTCACTGTCGCAACACTCTCTTTTGTTTTTTTATGTCGTTGGCCTTGTAATTTGAGCCTAATGTGTCCAGTCTTAACGCTGACTTGATTTTTATGGTCTTTGCTCTTGCGTGTGCGAGTGTGTGGGTTTTGCCTGCTTAATTTGCTCATATATGTAAATACTCATCCTCTTGCCTTTTGCCACAGATCAACCGATAATTACATGCATATAAACATATACTGAGTTCAGAGCGACCAAAGAGCGACTTGAACGCCAACGCCTAAGGAATTGTTAAATAAATCGTAAAGCGCAAAGTTTTCAATACGCAAGCATATATAAATGGTTTCTACTTTCATTGGCCTATTGGGTAAGTTGATCCTACTAAATGGCTTACATATGTATGTATATGCTCTAAATGAGAAATGTTAGTAATACTATTTATTATCCAATGAAATAAACTATTTTAAGGTTCGCAAAGTAGATAATAAAAATTATAAATAAATTAATTTGTAAACTTTAAAAATTAGTGGTAGGGTAGCTATGATATACAAATACTGAATAGATAATCAAAATCTTTTGAAGATCTCTCGAAAAATAATACCAACTGTCCATTAAAATCTTTCTAATTAAAAAATAATGATCACTAAACATTTATCTTTTGCAGAAATTATGTTTTAATAACTAGAATTTACTGCAGTATATAGAAAATGTTTCTTTCTCATTATGTAAAATATACATATTAATATTATCATGAATTTGGTATGCCCTTTTACAGATATTAAACCGTTCAATTTTCTTTCAGACATTCAATCATGGTGGGAGATACCGTGTATTTCGCATTTTTGTTCATTGTTTAGTTCCGCTTTCGATTTGCCCGACATTGATATCGAGGTAAGCACTTTTAATTATCACACAGGTATAATATTATTTACTAAATAATATATTTTTGTACAGGATCTTGAATCGGCGCTGCTTTCCGATGGTACCAGCGACGAAGATCAGGTTGCCTTAGTGCCGGAATTAATTGTGCGCCTTCTTAAGGGCTGCGATGCGCTACACTCTGTAGCCAAGGATATCACACACAGCAACTATCAGATGTTCTTGCGTCGCTTTCTGCGCCAACAGTGTCGCCAACACCAAACCGAAAATCACTTCGATACGGACATTGATTTTCAATCTCTGCCGGTGCGCAAGCGTCTGCACATTCTGCACGATCTGTGCCATTTTCGTCTGGACTCTGCCGATGTGCAGGTCATACTTAGTAATCTAGAGGCCGATAGCCTTCGTGTCGAACCACTCGGATACGACGCCAAGAACTCTGGCTATTGGTATTTCTACGGCACGCGTCTTTATCGCGAGGATAAAGCTAGTGGCTCGCATACAAGTGCCGGTGCTGGCAGTAGTGGTGGAAGCAGAGCTGGAGCTGCAGCGCCAGCAGCCGCTGGTACTACATATATTGGCAGTAACGGCACAATCTGGCAAGTAATTTGTTTCACCGAAGAAGACTGGCAGAACTTGGCTGCCAAATTCAAGACATCGACGAACGCCAAGGAGCGTGAACTCTATCAAATACTCGATGAAAACTTTTTGCCTAAATTGCCTCAATTGTTTCGCGAGCGTGAGCGTCTGAGAAGGAGAAAGTAAGTGGGAATTATATATGTATATTGTTTATTTGATTTAAGATCTTGCACCATGTTCAGATAGGCGTTGTAGGTGTCTATGGCTATGAAGTCTGTCTGTTCATTCGACTGTATGACTCTTAGTGTCTCGAATAGGATAAGAGCTTTCCGATTAGGTAGAAGCAAGGGCCTTCAACTTTCACAGTTACTATAATTATCAAAAACATTTCATAACTCGCGGATCTTATTTATCAAATCAAACCAAAGCCCAACTAAGTAAAAATCTAATATCAAATGTTCTCAATTATTTTCAGATTGTTGCAGGTGCGCAACTCCAGTCGCATACGCAACATTGTCGAGTTGAAAAAGGCGCGCCAGGAGGAGGAGCGTCAGCAACGAGAACGCGAGCGTCAAAGTTTGAATCGCGAGCGTCAATATTCGCACTGGGCAGCCTCGTCGAAACAACATCGCGATCGGGCACTGAAACAGAGCCGCTCACGTTCACGCAGACGGTTAGCACGTGACTTAGTATAAGCAGCCACGCGCTCCAATCGTCGCTCATTCTTTGCTCCATTCACAACTACCATACTGAACTCAACCAATCAACACAACAAATTTATCATACACATAAACAAACACACACACTAGCACTTGCAGCGCATCTTTTGGTTTTCTACTTTTGTTTCTATAGAAATTATTTTCAAATTAATTTCTTGCCAAAATTTGCTTGCAATTCGTGTGTCGTCTTGGTCGCGTCATAAATCACAAAACCATCAAGTTGCATCTTTCTTTTCCACATCGAGATTCATCTTTACGGAGCAGCGGAGCAGGCACCACAATTAATCAAGGAGTTAAGCAGTCCAGAAACCAAGCAACCAACAAACCAGCCCCAAATCCCAGCCCAGCATATCGACGACCCGACGACCAATTGCAACGATTCGGCAGCAGTTGCACTTTATTTCAGTTTTGCCCATAATTTAATTTTGTGTGGAAATTGATTGGATTTCGTTTTACAAATCAGAGCAATTATGTAAGCATGCTTTTTTATATGTATGTCTATGTATGTACCTTTAATTCCATTCGAAATTTGTTATTATTGCTTATCATTTCTGTCTGAACAACTCTTGAGTTTTGTAGCTCATTAACGAACCATTCATTACAAATTAATATCAAAAATTGACTAGAGTTGCTAACAGCAATATTGAAAGGTTAATAAAATAAAAGCATAACTGTATTATTGATCATCATTGTTTTACAATACCAATTGACCACTCATTAAGTATTCGTTTCGAATTTAAAATGCAATTTAGACTAATTTTAAGACATATCGGAAATTATTATGTGACTTCTCGAAATTGTGTTTTTTAAAAGAATTTAAAAGCTTCATTAGAATTATTGATAGTCCAGTAAAGCCATTCTAATTTTAAATATTGGTGTAATTAACAACTCTAATTAAATCCGAATAAACACAAATCATTCAAATTTAGATTACACAGAAAAATTAATATTTATGTATGTGAGCAGAATGAATGATTATTCTAATCTTCTTGTTAATATAATTCTTTTCTTCACACAGCTCGCAATCTACATCGACAGCAAGCGGTATTTCCACATATGCAAGCTCCCTAAGACGTACAACAACAACTAATTCGAGCGAATTTCTGTGCCACAGGGAAACCTTTTGTCTGTCACCAGAAGACGACGACGACGAAGAGGACGAAGGCGAAGGCGATAACAACAACAATCATAGCCACGAGAACGACGAGGAGCAGGCAGTGACACAACAACAAGCCACACACCAATTCGTAGCTTCGCCAGCAGTAGTAGCAACATTAGCATCAACAACAACAACAACAACAGAAACAACTATATATGAAGTAGAAACGGAAACTCCTCAAATCGAAAACGACAGCAAATTTCGTTCGCCTCAGCCACCTGTTGAGATATCGCAAACGCCTGCAGAATTCAAAACAAAGAGCCATCATCATCACCACAAAAAGAAGAAATCGGGTAAGAAGCAAAAGAAACGTTCGCGTGAGCATCGTGAGCACAGCCACCATCATCACCATCATCATCGGCGGCGCCACAAGCATGCATCTGAGACAGACGACGCACCCAGCAGCAATAACGACAACAACAACGGGAGCAGCAACCACAAGCGTCGCCACAGTCGCCACCAACAACAGGAGCCAGAGTCACACGAGGTTGCAACACGCCACGACACTTCATTGAGTCCCGAGGATAAGGAGAATTTTTGTCGTCAACTGCAACTGTTGGATACCAATTCGGCGGCCATTGCGGTTGCCACGAGCATAGCTGACTTGAGTTTACCATCTCCAGCGGCTGATGAGAGCGAAGTGCAACAGCAGCAGGCAGAGGGAACGCAACCACACCAACAACCAACACAGCCAGCAGTCAAGCGTGTGGAGCAACAACAGCAGATGGCGCCGGCGGCCAATGTAAAATTGCCCGGCAGGCAAACAAACAATTCGCTCAGCTCGCTAACTGGCAACATTTTTATACCGAGTGGTGCGCAGCAGCAACAGCAGCAGCAACAACAACAGACAAATACTGGCAATGCTGGATCGGGCAACATGACGACAGCACGGACAGGTAATAAAAAGCAGAAGTCAACTCTGTCGACAGTTAAAGCGGATCGGAGCAGCACCAGTGGAGGGAAAAGTAAAAAATCATCATCAACCACATCAAATGCTGGCAACAATAATGCATCATCGAGCGCATCTTCCTCATCGTCCAGTAAAGCGGATCGAGAGCGCAATAGTGGCGCCTATTCGGACAAAAGTGCGGACGAGTAAGTGGACAATAAAAGCCGAATTTCAAGAGAACATAAAAAATATATTTTATTTGCAAATGTTAACACTTGAGTTGACTTTGTACTGTCTTCGAAACAAATGGTAGACTCGATAATAAAGATTGTTATTTTCTTTAATAGTGCAACTATCAACATTGTCATAAATCATTTGACTGCGTTTTTTACGAATATGTTTTAAAGACAGTGAAAATTCAGCTTCACAAGCATTCAAATATCTTTCAAATAATGTAAATTTATTAAAGTTCTTACCTACTCGTGGTCACTTTAAATATATGTTTGTGTTAAAACCAAAGCATAAATGGTTTTGAATAGATAGGAGAATAGGACAAGGCAGTTTCAAGTCTGCCTTAACATTTTCCATCGATAAAGGACATTCTCAATTTGAAAGATATTTTAATGTTAAATAAATATTAATATAAGCCTTTTACTAACAATTAACTTGAACATTCAATGTTTTGATGAAATCAAGTTAAATATCTTACATTTGGTTTCATTTTAAATAATCCTAATTACTAGTACTTCAACCTGTCTGTGTATACTTTTTCCTTATCCCATTAATTGTTCATTTTTGTGTCTGTGTTGTTGTCCTACTAAAATGTTGATTTAATTCTATAACCCCCACTATTTGTGTTTTTATTTGGGCTTTGAGCTGTCAGTGCATGTCTAACATTCTTACATATTCCATTTGAGAAAGCATAGAATTGTAAATATCAGATGAATAACGTATTTGTTCATTATTGTTATTATTGTATATTGTAACCAACAAAAAACAACCAACAACCAACAACATTTTGACTGTTCATCAACCTTTCAACCATATCAACCAACCAACAAACCAATCAATCGAATGTATATGTAGCCATGTAAATAGTAGCAAACGTAGCACCACCACCACCACCACAACCACCACCAACAACAACAGCAGCCTTAACAACAACAACCATAGCCATAAGCACTCGTCGCATCACCACAATAACAACCACTCAAATGCGCATGGCAAAAGGGATGCGGTAACAACGCCAACAATAACAGCGTCGCACGGAACCACACACGATCAGCAACACCACCATCATCATCATCACCATACCCATGCACCACATGCCCACCAACAACACACGTACCCACACACTACTACTAATCATAGCCATAACAGTAACAAAAGCAAATCTAAATTCCTGCACCATAACCCAAATCAATTTAATCCCCTAATACATCACACGACATTAAAAACAACAACAACAACAACCACCAACATACATAATACAACAACAAAAACAAGCAATTCAACGTACAACTCCAATCATGCGAATATTCTTAGCTTCACTGAAACGGAGGAAGTGCTACAAATTGGAATGCATAAGGTGCTCGTTTATGTGAAAAATCATCGCGACGCTTGGCCCTTTATGGATCCCGTGGAGGAGGATATAGCGCCTCGATATTACTCTATTATCAGAAGGTGTGTTATAATTTTAATACATTCTAGGAGTTTATAAGTATTATAAATGTTTTTCAGACCCATGGATCTTCTGAAAATGGAGGATAAACTGGACAGTGGAGAGTATCACAAATTTAGCGAATTTCGGAATGATTTTCGATTGATTGTGAACAACTGTAGACTGTACAATGGGCACAATAATGGTTAGTGAATTATCCTTATTTAAAAAAGCAGTCACATTTTAAATGAAACTATTTTTTCAGAATACACAGAGATGGTGAATAACCTACAGGATGCTTTCGAAAAGGCAACCAAAAAATATTTTGATAATCTATCCGATGACGAAGACGATGATCCCAATTTAAGCTATCCTGCCGCTGACTCCAAAATGAACGTATTTCGTGAGAAGTACTTCAACAAAAAGGCGAAGGAAGAGGAGAAGGAGAGCGTGCTGGCGACGCTCGCAGGCTCAAGTAGCAAACGTCATGATAGTAATAATACGAGTGACGAAGAAGAGCAGAGCGATCTGGATGAGCAGGATACGCCAACGGAAAACTCTCAACGCGGACAGAAACGCAAGCGCAAGGAGAAGGATAAACGGCGAAAGAAGAAAATAAAAAGCAAGGCGCACAACAATGACGAGCAGTTAGATACAGATGAAGAGGTATTGGATTCAGTGCCGTCGCCTGCCCCGACACCAGCAATCAAAAAGAGTAAGTCGAGCAAAGTGTCCAAGGAAAAGGAGCCAAGGGAAACGCAAGCGGCTCAAAAGCGTGGACGCAAAGTTAAAAGTGAAAAATCGACGTTAGCGGGGAGACCGAGCAAAACACAGCAAAAGACCAAAAATAGTGGAAAGAAGTCAAATCAGGACGAGCCCATAAATACGGACTCGAGTGATTTGGACGCCAACAGTCCCGAAAGTGAGGACGAGCAAGTGATCGTGGCGAGGACCAAAACCATAACCAAACCATCGACACGAACAATAGCGGCGCAAAAGAAAAAGTCCGTGCCAGCGGAGTCAAAAGTTAAACAGCCGACGCCTATAAAAAAACAGCAAAAGACAAGGACCAACAAGGCAGGCGGACGTGCGGTAAAGGCAATAAATGAAGATGAACAGAGCGAGCTATCCGATTTGGAAGTCAACAATAGGCGGCTGTTGCCACCCACAGCTGCAGCAGCATTGGCTGAATCTGCTGCTGAACTCGAGGAGGATGATGATGATAGAGACGATGATTCGCGGTCACGCAGTATGTCCCCGTTCAAAGTTGATCTCCACAAGAAATACTCAAAAAGTGCACTTAATGATGATCTTTCTGAGCTGCTGACAACGGTCAAGAAGGTGCCTAATGCCGAGACAACTAAGCTGAGTGCGAGGCACGAAGATAATAGAGATGATGATGACGACGATGATGATGATGAAGATGATTTTAAATCCTTGTCCTCTAGTCGTCACTCTTCTAAGGAGCGGAAATCATCACCAATAAAGCGGGGAAAGAAATCAGAGTCAAGCGCCAAAAAGGAGAAGGAAAAGGGGAAGGAAAAGGAAAAGGAGAAGGATAAAGATCAGGAGAAGAAGCTTAGTCATGAGAAAAATAAGACACGTTGTGCCAAGCACAAGAAGAACTCCACAGAGACGGATGCTGCCGCAGCGGCTGCTGCCGAGCAGGCCGAACTCGAGATGCTGCTGCCATTTATGGATAAATACGATGTCATCAAATATCGGCGGAGTCGTGCCCAACAGCCGAGCAGTGGTTCCAGTGCCAACAATTCGGTAACGCCACCCGAGGAGGCCAAATCGACTAGTACAAAAAGTAGTAAGGATAGCGAGAGGACATCAAAGAAGGGGCGTGAGAAGCGTGATAAAACGCCTGAACAACCAGGTTCGCCAGTAAAGGGCACAACAGAAACAAAGCGCGGGCGCAAATCCAAAGAAGCGAGGCGTACGAAAGAGTCGAGCAGCGCAGAGAAGCCAGACAAGGCTATCAAAATCGAGGAGAAACATAACCCCGCACCCTCCAAGGCAGCGACTCCAAAAAACGTAGATAAGGCACCGGATCCGCCACCTATACCTGCACCAGTAGCTAAAACAGAAGCCACCAAGGACATTAGCAATAGTAGCAACAATAGCAACAGCAAGGCCAACAGTGCCAGCGGTAAGACCAAGGAGACACCTAAGGCAACTACCAAGAAGCGCGTCGATAAGCAAATGCCGCCTCCGCCGAAGCCTGCCGATAAGCCCACAGAGAAAGCAACAACAGCGAAAAAGACAGCTGGAAAGAAAGCTGGTGGTGCGGGAAAATTAGGTGGCGCATCACAAAAAAGTCAAATAACAACGAACAATAGCAACACCAATCTCGAAGCGCTGGATGTGGAGACGGAACAGACTCTAAAGGACATCAATCGTTGGTTGGAGCACACTCCACGCTTCTCCGAGTTCAGCTCAGCTAGCAATTCTCCCTCGCGATACAATCTCCTAGATGATTTTGACTCAGGCATTGGCAGTAAACTGGACGCGGCCGACTTTCGACGTCCGGTAGCGCTGGCAGCGCCAAAAGTGGAACTCGTGCCAACCAAACTAGCTGAAGCGCTCAACGAGCTCGTCAGCGATGAAGCCAAGAAGGGCGATTCAGAAACAGCGTCTGTTAGTGGAACTGGTGGTGCTGCAACCACTGTCGGTGGCACCGCTAGCAGTGTTAGCAGCAGTTGCGGCACACCGCCACATTCGACCAATTCGGTTAACTCCATAGGCAGCACATCGGCCACGGCAGCCTCATCGAATAACTCGACGGTGAACGCACCTTCGAGTTCCTCGCTCACATCGGCCAATCAGCCCACGTTGGTTATTCAGCCGCCTGCGGTGACGCCTCCCGCTGTACCGCCCCCTGTGCACGTGCATACGAAGCCCAAGGAGCCGAGCACCACACAGTTACTGCTGAATCCGCCACCACCACCGCATATCAAGCAGCAAATGGCCAAAGAGGCCAAGCGTAAGTCCCTCAAGGAAAAGCTTGCGGCGACGGCACATGCGCAACAGCAGAAGGCAAAAGGCAATGTAATGCGCACCATTGATCGCCTGCAACCGGGAAAGGCTAAGGGAAATCTCATACAGAACGTGAATAAACCGGATGCAGAGACCACTCCACTTGGGGCAACCGCATCGACGCTTTCCACCGTGGCCTCCAAGACAAAGGAGCTTAAGAACGCACTTATCACAGAGGCCAGCGATGGTGCGCCCAAGCTTAGCCTCGGCACAGTTATTAAAACGCAGGACTTTGCCTTGGGTAAGACCCTGGACGAGCTGGCGGGCAAGGGCGTGGAGAAGCAATCGCGGGATGGCGATGGTAGTGCTGGCGAGGACAATGGCAGCAAATCCGATGATGACTGTGAAACGGCGATAAAGACCAAGGAACCACCAAAACCATTTGAAGCACTGCTTGAGCTAAGCAAAGCAAGCAAATCGAGCGAGGCGTCCAAAAGCGAAGCAAACAAAGAGAAACCGAATTTGAGCGCTTGGCTGAAGGCTTTTGGCGGGCCCAAGGTCAGCAAGAAAACGGACGAGGATGATAAACAGCTGCACCAACAACAGTCGCATCAACAGGATATATCGGGCGATCCGGCTAGCAAGTCCAGTGATGGTCATGTTGCACCACCGGCGCACTCACCTGCTGGCGACAACTTTTCGCTGCCAACGGTTTTGCGACAGCGAAAGCCGAGCACAGGCAGCACTACTTCGGAGCGATCGTCGTTCAGTCAAGATCCTGATTCGCCGCGCATTGCCATCGATGAGCGTTATGGTTCGTATGCATCTGGTGCATACACATCCCCAATCGGCGCCTCACCAATTGGAGCTTCACCCATCATGGTCTCGCCCAAGCCAAACGATGACATGAACAAACCACCCACATCTCCATATCCACTCAATGGGGCCATTAAGGTGGGATTTTATCAGGACACTACTACGAAGAGCAGCCCGGACAAGAGCTGCAGTCCTCGTGAAATTACCTCACCGTATCCACAGTACTCGCAGCACATTTACTCCTCGGCCTCATCACCGAATGTTTCCACACCGGAGCTGAGTGGCACTTCGCCTTATGGCGGTGGTAATAGCTACAATCCCTCGGGTTCCGAAGCTTCGAAAACGCCTGGCTACTCTTCCACTTCTCCGCTTCCCATTTGCTATGATCAGTACAAGCAACCGCGCTCACAGGAATCAGACTATAACTCGTCGATGAGTCCCAGCACACCCAATCCGCATTCGCCGTACCAGCAACCACAGAGTTCGCCATACACGACACCTCAGTCCACACATCAGTCGCCTTACCACGCCCAATCGCCTTACCATCAGCAACAACATTCGCCGTACCACCAACAGCAGCAACCATCGCAACAACAACAGCAACCGTCACACAGTCCGGCGGCGCATCAACAGGCGCACAGCCCCATGCAAAGCAGTGTAGATTCGCCGGCCTCCTCAGCGGCCACCCAACCACCCACTCCGCTGGCCCAGTCACCGGCAGAGCAGCAACATTCGCCGTATCAGCAACCAGTGCTGTCGCCCTACCAGCAACAACCACCGGTGGTGGTGCCAGCAGCCGTTACCCAACCAGGATCGGTTGCGCCTACAACAGGTACGTTATGTTATAAATACAAATTAGATACGCAGCTGTTCTTAGTAAGCTTTTAAAATCGTTTTTCGGAATTCAAAAAAAAAAATATCAATCATGTGATTCATGTGATACAGAGACGAGTCAAAACCTTTAGTTTTTTTTTTTTTGCAAATGATTTATGAAGAAATTACCATTTCACTTAATACTTTCAGCTATGGCAACTAATAGTGGCTATGCATCAGCACCCACTCATGACACTTACCAGCAACAACAGCAACAACATAAGCAACAACAAGACCAGCTACGATCTTTGTATAACCCAGCAACGCTTATAAATCCGTTGCAAGCTGTGACAGCACCCACAGCTGTTGCCAAGCAGACAACAAATAACGAGTGGAGCTTAAATCGTAGTCTGCTGCCAACAAATATTGCCGGACAAGCGCAGCAACAACAACAACAGCAGGTACAGCAACAGCAGGTACAGCAACAGCAGGTACAGCAACAGCAGGTACAACAACAACAGCAGCAGCAGCAGCAGCAGCAACAACAGCAGCAGCAGCAACTAATTAGTAGCCAACAACAACCACAGGCTCAGACCCAATCTCAATCACTTGCACAGGCCGCCAAACCCAAATACCCCACTTATGCGCAATATCAGTCTACAAATGCAGCAGCCAGTGCGGCAGCGGCTGCCAATGTTGCAGACGGCACAGATCAGCAACAACAGCAGCAACAGCAAAAGATTACACCGCCCAGTTATGCGAGTGACATGGCCAGCTTCATGCAACATCAAATGCAACAATTGCCATCAACGTTGAAAACGGACACGCTGATTAATCCGCTGAAGAGACCTGGCGAGGAATTGGGCATGGATTATAGTGGTGCCACTAAGTTGCAGAAATTGGATGATAATTTGACAGCTCAACAACAGCAGCAACAATCTCAGGCGCAAGCGCAGGCATCGCTGTTAAACAAGCAACAGCAAATGTTTAACAGCTTTTTGGGCTCGATGGCCTTTGGAAAGCCGCTCGGTAACATTTGTCCGGATAAAGCTTTCGAGATGTACAATAGGGCTGCAGCTACCGGTTTTCCCAAGGACTTTGTCAAGGATAACAGCTGCCAGTTGCAACAACAGCAACAACAGCAGACACCAACGGCAACTAAGCAACAGTCAAACCAAGTTCAGTCTGCAAATCAGGTGCAGCCACAATCTTCGATAGCGACACAGCAGCCACAATCGTCTATACCGACGCAACAGGCACAAGCCCCGACGCATTTGACGCAGCTACAAACGCCACATAATCAAAACTATCAGCAGCAGCAACAGCAGAAATTGCCGCTGCAACAGCAGCAACAACAACAGCAGCACCAACAGTCCCACAATACATACCAACAACAGCAGCAGCCACAACTTAATCACAACTATGCACCAGCACCGCAGCAAACGCAACAGACACAGCAACAAGCAGCGGCTGACAAACCAGCAGTGGCAACACATGCCCCCGCAACTAGCGATGCAAGTGGCAGCAACATGTTGCACATGCCCTCAACAGCACATCAACACCATCTTTCGCAGACACACCATTTGGCTGCCTACAACAAAGCCACACCTCCACCACCCCAGACCTACAATAATCCGCTGATGCACCCCCTCGCCGAGAGCATGCTCGGCTATCCCGCGAACTACTTCGACAAGGCGATGCCACCCGCTGCTCACATGTATAGTGCCTCCAGTGCCGCAGCCTATGGAAATCCAGCAGCTCAGCTGCCGGGCAATTATGTGCCTACAGCACTATCAGGAGCCGGTAGCAACACGCAAACCCAACAAACAACGCATCATGCGCCCCTTGCAGCAGCAGCTGCAACAGTGGCAGCAACAACAGCAACGCCGCCTGTTACAGTAGCCGAAGTGAAGGCGCCGGCGAAACGTGGACGCAAAAAGAAGGCATCAACCATAGCGGCTGAGGCGGCAGCTGTGGCTGCCAAACAAGCGCAGCAACAGCAGCAGCAACAACAACAGCAGCAACAAGCAGCCGCACAACAAGCGCAGCAACAGCAGCAGCAGCAACAACAACAGCAACAACAACCGCCCATGCACACGCAATACAATATGCCACAAATGGCCAGTGCCCATCAGAGTAATGCCGTAGCATTGCATCAGGGCTTCCAGCTTTATGCCGGTCTTAAATCTACCGGTGTCTCATCGCCACTCGCGGGTGCGGGTTCAGCAAGCACTGGACTAGTCGGCACGGCAGCCTCGCCCGCGGAGGGCACAACCAGTGCTAATCATAGTTCTACAGCGGCCGCAGATGCTGCTGCCATATCGCTGAAGACCTCAACGGGCATGGTGCCGGGCAGCGCCTTCAACTTTGCCGCAGCACCCGGTGCGCTGGGACTCTATGGGGACCAAACAGCTGCCGCTAGCAGCTATCTCGATCAGTTCCGTGATGCACCGAACCCGTATTATATGCCACCGGCACCGGCGCACAGTGGCGCGGCAGCGAATGTGTCTGGCAATGCCGCAGATAAGACGCAAAATGCGCTGAGCACTGCGGCTGGTTCGTATCCGTTTTTGGCGGCAGCGCATCCTTCAACACGGGCCGCCTATCCCTTTGCAGCCTCACAGCTCGATGCCAATTCGCAGCTATATCAGCAGTACCTGCGTCGCGATGATTTTCACACGCGCATGATTCTGAATCAAAGTCTGCTCGGTGGTCCGGCGGCGGGCTATGGTCAGCCCCCACCACCACCCAGTGCCTATCGACCGTCGGCATTGGGCATGCCGAAGCCGTACGATATCAATAGGCAATCATGGTTTTAGCAGTACGCCAGTGCCGCCAACGTGGATCTGCAGGGAGACGATCTAAATGCATCGTCGACGACCGCGGTGGCGGCAACGGTGGCAACTGCGACTGCATCTGCAACCACGCAACGCTGAAGCTATTTGTGAAAAGCGGTTTCAATGCCTTGTGTTTCAAGTTTTAACATCAACATCTTAATTACCATTCTTTCATGTTAATTATGTGCGAGTGTTGAAGTTGCCTTTGTTGTTAATTTAAATGAATATTGATATTCTATTTTCTCTAGACTCGAATTCTAGTTTCTAAGTTTCCTATTTTTGTTGACTGCTTCGCATTACTTCTAGGCTACACGACTCAATACTAGCCACTTTCTTTATTTTCACTCGCTTTTCGTGCAATGTCTTGACATTCGACAGACAGACTAACAGACTGACTAAGTCTAAACCTTCAACTTCAACACGCTGCGCAGACCAAACCCTTGACCACATATATATACATATAAAAAAATAAAACGAATAAAAACAAAAAAAAAATCTTACCTAGTTGTTAGCAACATTATCAATTTTAAGCATTTGTTTATGACACTAATTCAAAAGAGCAAATGAATGAATGAATTAATTTGTTTTAACTGCTGAACAAAGAAGAACTTTTTCTAATTTAATTTAACCGTGCAAATACAAAAGAAAAGAAAAAAAAACAAAAACAAATTCAAAGAATTGTTCAATAGGCGACTATAATTAGCTTACGTAATTTTGCTTTTAAGCCGTTAATTTTAAATTTCTACTCTTAACAGTGTATATTTAGATTTAAAAAAAAAGCTGCGGGTAAATTTGTTAATTAATTTATTAATTTTTAGAAACACAAAAAATACAAAATTAAAATCGAGAACCTACATGTAGCCTCACAACTTTGCGAAAGTTTTTTAGTTTATAAAACGCGTTATGCAATTTGTATAAAACTTTTGTTAACTATGCTAAGTGTAACAATAAGTTTATTTGTAAACAAAATACATAATAAATACATACTTACATACATACATATGGCGATTTGTAAAACTCACACACATCCATCCGCACCCACACAAATACATTCAATTATCCACACACTCACAGAGAAACAATGTTGTTTACATTCCGCCATGCTTACAAATTCAGATCGAGAACAGTTCCAAACCACCCAGAATCCATCACTGCTGTAAATATGGAGGAGTATAAACTCATTTTCTATTTTTACGCATCTCAAAATGTAGCTTTAACTGTAAAAACAAAAGAAAAGTATAGAAGTAAATGCATACACACACACACACACACACACACACATACATACGAGTACATACATATTCAAAGAACTCATGCAAGCAAACAATTGAAATTTATGAAAAGTAAATAAAAAAGTGTCTTAGTCGCTATTAACATAAACAACAACAACAACAACAAACAAAAAAGAAGCAAGAAAGCAAAAGCAAAATAAGCCCTTAATTAAATATAGTGAAAAAAATTAAAATATATAAATAAACTACTTTAAGTTGTTAACGCTTATGTTTGAGAGTAAATTTTAAATTTGATAAAACATAAAACACATAAAATAAATAGTTTGTATACATACATATGCAAAAGAATTCTACAAGCACACACACACACATACATAACACAACACTCACACACACACATTAAAGGTACCTAGTGTAAAAGTGCAAGCAGAGAGCGGAAAGTTAAACAAAATGAGATGGAAATGAAACATATTTAAACGCAAGCTATTATATTAATACAAATTTAACTTATATACGATATACATCTCTATATATATATATATTATAAAAAATATATATATGTATACATATATTATGTGCTGTATGTGCAGCGGAGCACAGTCGTCGAAATGCAGACAAAATAAATTACAATAAAGAATTATATTGCATATTGTACGAAACGATTCATTCAATTGATTTATATTATTATCTCTTAACGTTATTTCGTTGATTTATTGCCGCCTGCCGGCAACCGTAGCACCGTTGCCGGTATTGCTGGCTAATTATTATGCAATTATTATTTAGCCGCCGCACGCGTTCATTTGCATACAATTGTCTTGCCACGTTCGAGTGCAAAGTGAAATTACATTGTGGTGATAATGGTGGTGGGGAGCCATCGACAACGATCGTGCACAGTGGGCTGACCATTGCAATTTGAAAGCGACGCTTAAATTCTCAAAATAATTTCAGAAGGCATTATCAAATCAATACAATCCTTGAGAAAAACTAATTCGGCGACAAATTTCTTTAAATGTTCTGTTTTTTATGGAATTACGGCTACTGACTAAAGCGTTTACTAATGAGATTGTAGAACTAGTGCCTCAAACAGCCGACCATTCATCTTTCTCTGCTCACGACAACATCTAAAAAGTAAAGAAAATTGGTCGAAAAAAAACGTATTCGCATTACAGATTAATAAGAGGCTCTCAACATTTCTAATGAATAGACTTAATACATTTTTATGCATTCTTTAATACTATGAGCTTGATTGTGACTAAAATTTTGGTCAAATATAAAACAAAAGTAATCGTTCAGATTTGGTTTCCTGCGATTTCTTCCCGTTTCTCAATTTCACATATTCTCACAATGAGAGTTATTTCCTTGAGTAGTAACGTATGACGTTAAAACCATCATGAATGAAGTATGACTAAAAAATATTAAAGTTACCATAAAACAGAACTTAAGTAAAGTTTAAAAATTAAAAACAAAATATTTATATATTAGGAGAATTCGGCTTACAGTACAGTCGATTGAGACCATTCAAAATATTGCACTGAAGGAATTAAAGACCTTCTCGGTTGGGGGCTGTAACAACAGTATGGCATATTGCTTGAACCGCTAGTTTTAGAAGGCAATAATTAAGATTTTCATAAAAATAGAATAAAAAATTGTTCTTTTGCTTAACCACACCGAATCAAAATTTGATCAAATGGTAAATGCTCCGATTGGTAGGATTAAAGACTATTGAGAATCGTGTAGATCAGAATTTTTCATCCGTTTAATATGATCCCCTTCATCAGTATGAGTTAATAAGAGCACCTTTGTTGAACCTTGCTGTTTTTAGTACTTTTGGTTTGAAAGAACAAGAGCGAACAATTGATGCGTTTTATAGCTCATTAAAGTGTCCATATGATACAAAGATATTTGAATACAATTTTGAAGAGTTTTGTGCCATTATTATCTTAAATGTTATTTAAATAAATTATTTACAGATTGGAAGACAATTTGTTGAAAGCGTTGAGATATAGGATAATTGATTTGCTCAAAGCTGGAGTTAGGTGATAGTTTTGTTTATCAATTCCTCTTTCTCTGTACTAATGTACTTTAAGCATCTGTATGACATCAGTCTCCTTCACCACATCCAGCATTTCATCAATAAACATTTTACGTTTGAATTCTCCCATTTCCACGCAACATCAATAAATATTTTCTAAATGAATATATATTTTTATAGCCTATTATATCGATGTAACTAATCAACAAAATTGTAGTCGATTTCATGCCGATGTGAAAAGGATCTAAAACCCCACTGTGCGGCAATCACGATGACGGCGTGCCCTTCACCAAAGCCGGTGTGCGGGAGCGTGGATTTTGGTTCCCACACAATCACCGGGTACGGGTACGGCGGTCACAATTGCAGACGGCACATGCGCTAGCTAGCAGGAACACCTGTTTGGTTCTGGGGGCACGCTCGTCGCTCAGCTGTATTCCAGCCAAGCTGCTGCTTTCGCTTCTAGAACAACACGACGTTGGCTTTAATATCGGCAACGTGTTCCTAATGCTTGATTTTTCGTTCTATGTTCTAAGTGAGAGGAAACTTGGATGAGGTAAGGGTAGGCGATAAAAGCAATTTATCGGCTTTAATTATAGTGACAATACATATGTATATACACATATGTATATAGCTGCAAACACACGTTGTTCAGAGACAAATTGATGTGCTTTCGCTTTGTTGTGAGCTCAATGGAACTGAGCGTAGGAAATATAAAAGGAGCGGAATGGGTTTGGCAAATTACCCGTGTGTTCCTCCCACATCTGCTCATATGCATGCAGGGCCTTTTTTTTAATGATTATAATGGTATAATATTTTTAATGAATTTCATTTTCATAATCATAATCTAAATCTTACTAAACAAAAATCTCCACAGAATCGTTTAACTTTTTTAGCTGGAGCTGAATTTTATTTGTTTGTGAATTGAAGTTGTTCTAAAGTTGTATGAAATAAATATACATTTACCATATTTTGAGTTAAAATTATTAGTTTTAAAAAAAGTAAAGATGGAAATTCATTTCCAGAAGTTTTTGAAATAAATATATATTTACCATATTGTGAGTTAAAAATATTACTTTTAAAAAAAGTTCAGATGGAAATTCATTTCCAGAAGTTATTGAAATAAATATATATTTACCATATTTTGAGTTTAAAAAAAGTTCAGTTGGTTCATTTGCAGAAGTTATTGAAAAAGTTCTATGCTGCATTGTTTGAAAATATTTCGAGACTAAAATAAAACAGAAAGAGAAATCACATTAAATAGTTTTTAAAATTTTAAGAAATATAATTTAGTTTAATTAATTAAGTAATTAGAATTCTTATAAAAACGATCTATCGTACAATACACTACCGTATCTGGTATTATGTTTTATGACTAATACTTCCCTTATCTCATATTTAAACTTTTCCCCTTACGAGTATAATACAAAATAAAAACTAACTTAATTTCTCGGCCCCTTTTGACTTCATTTGAGGGTTCAAGGCCGAGTTATTAAAATTACACGTTTTGAGTGCGCAAATCAATAAGTTTCCAATTTGAAATAAAGACCGCGCTTACTAATTACATTGTTAACTATAAAGCATTATTGTTATAGACATAAACACAAAAAAGCTTCAACTTTGATTAATGGTTATGGTAGCAAACGGTTATGGTCGAATGACAGGGTGTGGGGACAGCGAGGTGTTCAGATATCATCCGGTTTAGAATTCGCCCGCAGCAACAAGCAATCGCTTATCGATTACATGTTAATTAGTTTATTCACCAGCAATTTGTTAAAAAAAAACCAACAACAACAACAACGAAAAAGAGCTCGAAACGAAGCGATTTCAATATTTAAATTTATGCAAATGAAACAGAACTGCAACAATTAAACGAAATCAAGTCAAGCCGGCGAATAATTTAAGCATATATTACGTGAAATTTAAATTCAAACATAATAAATTTCAATATTGTTAATTGAATGCCGGCAGTTGCGCATTGTTTGGACAGCGCGAATTTTTTATAATTTTTATTTTTGTTTAAAAATATATAAATAAAAATGTTTATATACCTAACTATTAGGCATGTTATTGACATTCAAACGTTTGCCAGATGAATTTAAAATATTTGCAATTTAATTAAAGAATAATAAGTTTAGTCATCAAGTATTTGAAATTCATTCTCTCAGGGCAGCAGCATTCTAAAATAATATTTACTTAGCCTCCGATTTAGATTTATGCGTTTTTAGTTGCATAATTTACGAGCTCGGCAACAAATCGGCACAACAAAACATAATAATCATGTATGGGAGTGAACAAAATAG